GCTTTAGAAATTGTTTTTGTTCACTAATAGCGAGATTTTTTGTTTTAATAACAATTAGATTTTTTCTTGATCTCGCGGTAGATTTATAAACGAGGAATAGACACAGTTTCTATGCAATGTTCTACACTAGTATTAATATCAATTAAATTGGTGCAGTAGAGACTGTGATCTGGATTTTTGGTTACTAGTCAAACGGTATTTAACATCTTGGAGATGTTATAGTCTTTTTAAAATACGTCCAAGAGTTTTAAATGCTGGTTTGTTATTGTAGGGACATAGACGTTATATTTTCACGTGCCGGTCAGACTTTTGGGCGGACCTTGGCCAATGAATGGAATGGTGGAGTCCAGTGCCCGGTTGCATGAAACCTCTTAAGTGGTATGACTTAAAGGTATCCCTGAGGGGGAAAATCCCTGAGGCAAGGGACTTCTTTAAGAGCTTTGCAACAAACGTCACCCTTACCTAAGTGTTTATACTAAGCATTTCGCGATAGTTTCTGGCAAAACACGGTAATGGAGAAGCGGTTGCTATAGTTACGAAATCTCACACAATAAACAGAACATAATGGACCACTGACTTTTAAACAAGTTTAACATTTACTAACCTATACAGCTGTACTACAATATTTGAGTTATGGAAATTATTAAAGGCGATCTGACGGATGACAGAGCGTCCTAAAATTCGAGCACATCTCTATGAGTCCAGCTACGACACCCAAGGATGCTCAAAATCTTGCCGCGCCACTCAAATAGTCTTTCATAAAATTACATTATACTTGTCCAGCTCGCTGTTACTGTATTGTACTCACACATCAATGCCACTTTGCCTGTTTGGTGATTAGATTCACAGATTTTTTGCAGCCTTGAAGCACGAAAGGACAGAATGACGTGTTTGGTGTCCAAGACGTGACGCGGCTTGATGCCTAGTCCTGTGTGCTAAGCAGCTTTACTGTAGGTTACTGCAAACAAGAAATCTAAACCAAACTGGACCAAGGACAAAAAAAAAAAATTCTTGAAAGATGGGGGGAAAACGTCTCGGGTTACGGAACGAGACGCTGTGTCGAGAATCGACACATTGGGGAACGCCTTCAGAGTGATGTGTCTGAAGCCTGTATGGAACTAGTCCAATCTTGATTGGTGTTGCGTCATGACGTCACCCGTGATGTCGCATGTGACGGTGATGCGGAAGCTATAAAAGGATGCCGGATCATAACAGCGTCAGCTTCTGATTGGTCGAAGCAAGTCGTTCTCAGGAGCGCGAGAAGTGTGGCCGAGGGACGCAGCGTTTCGTTCCCTGAGGGTTACAATCGTAACCCGAGACGTTCCCTTTCGAGGGAACTCGTGCTGCGTCGAGAATCGACACATTGGGGAACGAAATGCCCACTGTGCCACACTGAGAGATATATGCCCTGCTGTGAAGCAATCTGGCACACTCAAGACGAGAGATCTTGTGTAGCCGGTGTAGAGGGCATTGGGCATAGTTTGCTTTGAAGCAGGGAAACCCTTCTCCAGCCCGGTGTAGCCTGCAGCATCACAGACCTCTTTAAGGGAAACTCCTGCTAGTAGAGCTTTAGAGGTAGCCACTCCTCTGGTTGAGTGAGCTCTTATCAGAAGAGGCGAAGGCAAGCTGCGTGCCTCGTAAGCTGAAGAAATTGTTTCTACTATCCATCTGCTGATAGTTTGCTTTGAAGCAGGGGAACCCTTCTTAGGTGACCCAAAGTGTTCTTGACATTGAATCTTAATCCCAAGCACCTTAGATGATTCAGAACAACATCTCAATGTTGAACTGCCATCTCCTCTGACTGAGTCAGAATGAACCAGTCATCGATGTAGTTGAGGATGAGAAAGCCTTGAAGTCTCAATGGAGCAAGGGCAGCATCCATGCATTTCGTGAAGGTGCGAGGTGACAGTGCTAGGACAAATGGAAGAACTCTGTATTGATACGCTTTTCCCCCAAAAGCGAACCTTAGAAACTTCCTGTGTTGGGGAAGGATGGATATGTGGAAGTAAGCATCTTTTAGATCTATCGTGACAAACCAGTCCTCGGACCTGATCTGACTCACGATAATAGGTATAGTTAGCATTTTGAACCTGTCTCTCCTCAGAGATCGGTTCAATACCCTGAGATCTATTATAGGACGTAACCCCCCATTCTTCTTGGGAAATATGAAGTACCGGCTGTAGAACCCGGCTTCCCTCTCTTGAGGAGGAACCTGCTCTATGGCTTCCTTTACTAAGAGGGACTGAACTTCTTGTTCCATGACCTGACCCTGCTCAGGGCTGACCAGTGTGTGCACAACCCAACTGAACTTTGGTGGACGATACTCAAACTGAATTCTGTACCCTTTTTTCCACTGTGCGCAGGACCCAGTGATATATATATTTGAAGATCTTTCCAGGTGTCTAGAAAATCTACTAGGGGGACCAGTCTCTCGAGATTGACCTCTGGTGTTATATTTGGGATTTCGGTGACCTGAAGCAATTGAATGGCAGGAACTAACAGATTTATTTTTTCTACAGGCCTCGTGAGAGGAAGTGAACTCGACAGGGCAGATATATCTTCGCGCGGACACTCCGATTTGCGTTCGCTGAAAACCGATGTGAGCCAAGGCCGTCTCAACATTATCAACCAACTCCCTCAGCGATCCCCATGAATGCAAGCGCCGCGCTGCCTCGACAGACGCGGGACCTGATCCATGGGTAGCGCGTGCCTGGCCTGATTCATCGAACAGGCACAGGCAGGAGCGGAGCATTCTCAGGGGCATTTGGTCACAGTTAGCACAGACAGCGCCCTCAAGACCTCAAGCCCTCAAGTGCATGCTCCACTCCCAGACAAACAACACAAAGCGAGTGTGTGTTACCCTCGCTCAAATAGCGCGGGCAAGGGGACACACACTGCCTATATTGTTTCTCCTTGGTCGCCATAGAAATATATATATATAACAGACAATACAACACCAAAAAAGACACACAGTCACACAGAACGCTTGAAGAACAGAAGCTAACGCTGTTATGATCCGGCGTCCTTTTATAGCTTCTGCATCACCGTCACATGCGACACAAAAAAAATTCGGCAGCACAGAAGACATCGCCGGTGACGCGCCATTTTCTGCCAAAGAGTTGCAGCAAGTTCCTCGGCTGCTTCAAGTTATCCTAAATCGATGTTGACTCAGCAGCACGCCAAGCCGGCTTCCACACCCACTCAGCCCCAGCAGAAAGCAGATCCCAAGTTTAAGCAGGGCTTCCACCCAGCGAAGCGCTACCCGTTTCCCAAGCGTTTCCTTCTAGTGGAGGCTTGGGAAGCCATTCCAGGTGTGTCGAATTAGGTTTTAGATACGATAAAAAGGGGTTACTCGTTCCAATTCACTTGCAGACCCCCCCGCTTCAGGGGTGTGACTTACACTTCGGTCTCGGATGCCAACTCTCATGTCCTCCAAGCCGAGACACAGGTTCTGCTAGCATAGGGTGCGGTAGAAAAGGTCCCCGCTGCCCACAGGCTTTTACAGCCTCTACTTCCTCATCCCCAAGAAGGATGGTGCCCTCAGGCACATCCTCGACTTGAGATTGAGGCAGTTCAGAATACTAACTTTGAAACAAATCCTCTCACAGATCTGCCCAGGGGATTGGTTTGTCTCAGTGGATCTGAAGGACGCTTACTTTCATATCCAGATCCGGTAGCACTGCTCCCTCAGGTCATCAGCTGAATGAGAGAGGACAGATGCTCAGTCTTACTCGTGGCACCACTCTGGCAGAACCACCCGTGGTTCCCGGGAATGGTTCAGCTGCTGTCTGCAGCACAATGGCCAATCCCACTGAGAAGGGACCTCCAGCCTCTCTCACTAAAGACCAAGAGATAACAGGAACGATCATTGTGTAAGCTGCCGTGCTACTGAGCATATGAGACGAGTCGACGCTATTGCTATTCAGTCGAGAAATTCTGACTCAAATGGCCTTTTAGCACAACTTTAATAGGCAGACGACCCTGCCGATTCTGGTGAGCTAAAAAGCCATTTGTCTGTGAAAAGCACAGAAGTGAACCAATCAGGCTTCAGTATTCTGAGAAAACAGTTTCTCCATATGCGTAAAACATCGACGCAATGCTCGTTCCCATTATCTCAGGGAACTGAGGTTATGTTAGTAACCGTAGCGTTTTTTCTTGCAACCTATGTTTCACTAAGGGAGCCCTTAACCTTATAACTAAGGGTTTTCTTAACTTAAGGGCTTTCATGCAACTTCTGCCGTCAGTCTGAAGGTCTGGCTACAAGAGACTAGCCAACATTTAATAAAACACTAAGTGCAAATAGCCTGCCTTGTTGGCAGAGGCTATTTACACTAACTTCGCCCACAATTGTATGGTTGAGACAGGGAAAATTTACAAAAGAAACCTGTTTGATAACGAACAGTGGCATGAGTAAGAATAGTGAATTTAGCTTTTGCTGCGACCGACAAGAGTTTGAATCCACCTTTTTCCGATCCCACTCTTCTCCGTTTTTTTATCGCATATCAGCTCAGAGAGGTGTTCATTCAAAATAATAATGAAGAAAATATTCGAAAAGTGGAAATAAGTGCCTAATGGGTATATTTAATTAAGGGTACCACTGGATGTGGTGCTACATGCAGAGCTAAAAGCCCTTGCCAACCAACTCCCTCTTCCTGGTATTCTGGTATACACTCACTGGATTTGTATTTTAACTTTGGTGATCTTGGTTAAATCGGAGATACCGTATCTTCTACTGTTTTATAATGTACAACAATACACTGAGATGCAAATAGTATCTGCCACTATTTGGATTAAGTATAAATAGAATCTAACACTATTTACACTTAGCTTTTTCACAAATATCCGCTGCCTTAATAAAATTAAACCACAATTAGACAAATTCCAAATAACTCAGTTTAATCTTATGTTCAGGTTGAAAAGAGAAATGGGGATTGTGAATGAGGAACCAGGGAGCATAGAACAGCGAGAAAGAGAGAATGATTGTGTGTGTGTATTAGTACCTGATGTTGGTTGTGCAGTTTCTCTTGGTTGCCAACTGGAAAACCTGACCTTTGCTTCTGTTGCAGTTGTTGTTTCAGCTTGGAAAACTTAGAAAAAAAAAACAGTGTAAGGACAAAAAAAGAGCAGAAAAACAGAAGACATTTTCTTACTCACATATACAGACCTATGTAGTGTGATATAGAGTAATACATTTTCCATGAGTCAACACACATGAACTTTCTATAGTTTCAAACAATTTCCATAACAGAATTGAAGTGGCATGTTTAATTTGATGTAGGGGTGGGCGATATCTCGATATTTAAAATACATCGAGATATTTTTTAAACACGATATGGATTTTGACATATCGTATATATCAATATATTGTTTATATTTAATTTCGCTGCTTTGCCTTCTCTGCGCTCAGTGCGCTGTGCTCGCCCCCGCCTCCTTGCTTTTGTTCCCCCTCCCCTCGCGTGTTGTCTCATTCAACATGGCGGCGCCCGCAACTAGCCCGGAGGCTACAGAACTCGTCTAAAAAAAATCGTCTTAAATGCTGTCTTACATGCACTTCTTGAGGCACACACGCACACTAGCAAACACACGCAAGGTCTCTCGCTCTCTGTCCCTCTCTGCCGTGCGCGCGCTACACGGTTTGAACATACATATTCACACAGCCTTTCGAAAAGTGGATAAATTTCCCGGGACAGGTTATTAAAAAGAATGACAATCCCGGTAAAACGGGACAGGTGGCAACCCTGGCCATTGCCGTCGTTGAATTATTATTTTTGTAAACAGGATTTTTTTTTTTTTTTTATGACGCAGAAGCACTTTGGACTACATGAACTGCCTACCTCTTTGCACTCCAATAAAAAAAAGACTGTGGTATTTGGCATATTTGTTTTTGGCAGTAGTTTTTGTTGGGTTATTTTTCCTGTAAAAATATCGAGATGTATATCGTATATCGAGATATAGCAAAATATATCGAGATATATTTTTTGCTCCATATCGCCCAGCCCTAATTTGATGTATGGCTTACCGATGAACCTGCACACATGTCCCTTCCATCCTGGAGATGTTCTGAATTTCCCCATGATGCGGAGCGTTTGTGAAATCCAACAGCTGTTGTTTCAGCTCCAGCTAACCATGCATGTGGTGTCTTTTACAAAAAATAACAGTCATCATAAATACATAAAACTACACTTTAAACATTTTATTTTGCTTAGACAGCAATTGTGTTGTGCTGCATTTTTGGCCTTATTTTAAAGTTGGCATGACATGAAAATTCACCCCATCCATTTTATAATTGCATGTTATAGATCTTATTGGGAACGATTGTATGTTTATTTGTTTGTTTTTTGACCTCATAATGTTTCATCAAAATGTCATAACTGGATCTTCCGGTGGAAATGACTGCTGACGTACATGTTTGCAGGACTTCTCCAATCATTTAGTCCACTTAAACCCTGCCTCTGCAGGCTTGTGTTCATCTGCTTCCACTTATGAGTGCAAAGCCCACATCTCAAAATCCAATCAACCAATAAATAAAATCAAGTATTTTTTTCTATTTTTTGATAAACCGTTACACGCGGATGTACATCACAATGCAAAAGAAAAGATCTTCTTGCCTTTCCTGCATGCTTTCATCCTATGGAAAAACAGCTTTGTGAACATTCCACTAAATGTCTTCTTGTTTCATGGATGAACGATTTTGGAACCAGGGCTGAAGCCACCATATCCCCCTAACAAATCAATAAGGATTTTCAACTAATGATTTGTTTAATTTTGCCTTAGGTTGAGTAAAATAAGACAATTCTCATTTTTGGGTGAACTAGTACAATCAGAAATTTTGTTATTAACCAGCATCACAAGCAAAGAAAATACATTTACCTTAGAGAGACTAATTTATAAGGTAATTTTAACAGTCTTAAGTCAACAATATAAAAGGAAGCATGAAATTTTGGCTCATATTATAAGGAACAGAAAACAGATGATATTTAAAAATAAAAAGCTAATGTGCCTACTTCCCTTCACAGCTGAGTTGAGGGTTAAAGTTCATAGTGATTGCAGTAAATCATAGGCTGTGATGTAATAGCCTAGTTTGTGCACACCACGGTACAGTGATGGTGTCCGAAGATACAATGGACCTCTGGTATTTACCATGGTACTGCATGGCTCTGTTTACACTGTTATTAACATAAGTCTTGGATGAGCCAGCTGACACACACTGTTGGTAAACGTATCCACTTGTGATCAGGGCACCTGAAACTGATGTTGATTCTAAGGCAGGCCCTGTTTACACCAGTCCTGGTATTAAGATGCGTTTTGGTTGGATCACAAGTAAACAAGGGAGACACATTCCTGTTTACACCTGGTATTTTAATCCATCTCTTTTGCCCACTTTCAACAACTTCTGTCCTGATTTCTTTGAGGGAAGAATTTTTTTTTAAGATCTTTAGATCTAATGGACAAAATAATCTTGTGCAATTTACATATGAATGCAGACAGACAATGGAAAAACATAAGGAGAGCATCAGCTTTCGTTACTGCTCTGATAGACAAGACCACACCAAACGCTGTGAGTGTCTGTTAGAAATCAGAAATGGTGAGAGAACATTGTGCTTGGTACGTTTTTCGTCTTCAAACCAAACTTGGGTCTCCAGCTGACAAAATTTAAATCCTGTCTGGCTAGGGCACTTCCCATAATGTTTACGCATTTTGTGGCTGTTCGAACGCATTCTACCAAATGAGCGTCTACACTACGAAAGCAATCCGGTCGAATGCGCTTTCGACTACCTCTGGAAGTGGTCGAAAGTGGACAAGCTCAAAACCTTTTAGACCCCGTTTACACCCGTATTTAGCGTCGTCAGCCAGGACATTGAAACAATTCACCTGTGTGGATTTATCTTCCCTGCCGTGTCTGCTGGGACTGTGTTTGTCTCCCACTTTGGGCCACTGGCCTTGCAAGTACGGCCCCACAATCGCATCCAAAGATAGTGTGCGCCGGATCCGAGTCTGCAAACACCACTCGGCTTTGGTCCAATCACCTGAGGAACCAAGAAAGCTTGTGTATTGAATAAAAAGGTTTTAGACAAAAAACCTGAAATCAAAGTGATCACTGTATATTGCATGGAGAGAAATCCAATGCTTAGGAGTTATCTATTCACTTCAATGAGGAAACATGCTTTTAAACATCTTGTTCTTATAAATGTGTGTATTGCAATTTGCAAGTTTCCTCCTATGTCCTCTTTTGTATTAAACTTCACTATTCACTGGTCTAGAATAGATCATAAAAGTTATTGAATTACTGGATATGAAAAAGATATAGTATACATTATGTATTACATACAATGGAATCTCTAAAATATGACAAAAAGATTAACCTGAATTTCACAATGTCTTAGCATTTAGATTGTCTGTCTTTTGCTTTAATGGCGATAACACTGTTAGCTGACACGAACAAAACCAGATCATGTTTTCCACCATGACTTGAGATGTTTCAAACATAGACTGTAAAAAATGGTTTCAAAGAGCATTTTGAGCTTCACTGGAAGCAAGAAAATGTGACATTTAGTACAAAGGAGTTCACATGATCAGTGTCACCAGTGTTGTATTATTTGATTAGTGAAATATCGAAAATATTTCTTCTTTATTCTTCTCCAAATGTCATAAAAATGCCTTGCTTCATAAAATACTTTTTTTTATCATCAAAAAAAGCTTCTTTATTTCAAGCTTTAAAGCCCAAACAGTTTAATGCTCAAATAAGCGTAATAAAACAATATATGTATAGGTTTAGATAGTTTAAAGCACATGAAAAAAAAAAAAAATTCTAATAATAATGTGTTTTCAAACTCAATCATTTCCTGTTAATCTTCAAGGACATTTAGTGGCTCAGATCATGTGTGATAGTCACTGATGTGTATTATATACTTCACCTGAAGTGATATTTGTGACGGCAGCTCCAGCTGCTTTGTGCAGTGTGAAGGGAACAGTAGCTTTAAGAGGCTGGAGACCTGATCCGCTCCTGGACATCTTCATTTCTCCACAAACACTCTGGCGTCATAGGCTAATACGATTCTTTTTGTCTGTGTAGTTACATAACAAAACTGCGTAGAAGACGACGCGTGCAAACATCTAGTTTCTTAACTAGACAGATAACTACAAGATATGCTTAATTATTCGTATAATTATACGAGTTGAGAGTAAGTTACTCTGCTGGTCAACAAATACCGACTGACTGAACTGAGTGAACCGAACTCTGCCTATCGAAACGCTCTGTCGGATCTTTCATTCAGTTTAGGAAGTGGGCGGATACCTTCCGAATTCGCCCTTTGATTGGCTAAAAGAAATGGCCATCCAGAAATACACCATATTAACATTAACAAGTATTTAACTTAAACATTATTTTGGCTTGATCTTAAAAATTAAATACAGTGCAGCAATTTTTTGCAGTGTATTAATTGACACCCACACAAAACAATAAAGTATTCTGATACTTCTATGCAAATAGGCTACTTGCCAAACTCTGCTAGAGTGCAGTAGGGCCTAGGCCTACTACAAGAAACCGCATAAAATAAAAGTTGTATGGCTTTGAGTCGCTTTTTTTTTAGTTCTGATGCCATGCTAGTGTACCGATGACAAAACTGACAAAAGCTGAAGCAATGATGTTTGATGTCATTGTCTTCAAATCAGTCGCAATGCATGTTGAATGTGTACAAGTGCAAATGAGATTAGTATGGAAGCTTGTTTCTGCCATGAAGTAACAAATAAAAAAAAAAGGTAAGTTGTGAGATATAAACTCGCAATTAAAAAAAGTAATTGCGACATTTTATCTCACAATTCGGACATTTTTTCTTGCAATTGCAAGTTTATATCTCACAATTCTGAGAAAAAAGTCAGAATTTCTCGCAGTTGCGAGTTTATGATTCGAACTTGCGACTTTATGATTCGAACTTGCGAGTTTATGATTCGAACTTGCGAGTTTATGATTCGAACTTGCGAGTTAAGCCCCCAGTGCTGACCTTTTTTCTCAGAATTGCGAGATACAAACCCGCAATTGTGAATAATAAAGTCTGAATTGTGAGATTTAAACTCCATTTGCGGAAAAAGTCATAACTGTGGGATGAAGTTGCAATTACCTTTTTATATTTTTTATTCCGTGGCAGAAACAAGCTTTCATAGATTTTAAAGTATAGTTGAGGGCATACAAAGCTTTGGTATGATTTCAGAATCAAAAGACTAGAAGAAGAAAAAAAATTATAACAAATTGTTCATTTCAGGTGAACTATTCCTTTAGATTCTTTCTTTGTTGTCTAATGTAGCCTATTCTGTTCAGTGCATTAGGCAATACTACACACTTATACAATAATATTGTATAATTGTTTTGGAAACTATTACATTGAATTGTGAGTAAAACGTTCATTTACATAATTAAACTGCTTTATATTTTTTTCATATCTACTGTATGTATAGAAGTGCATTTCTTCCAAGGGTGTAACAGTCCCGTCCCTGTGGGTGTCTTCAGCATGTATTGTTGAAGATAACCTTCCTCCAATGTCTGAAGACCAGGGAGTGCAATCAGTGGTGGTTTGCATAGGGTGGAGCTTGTGTGAGATAACACCTTCTGAATATGCCCATTTTTGCAGAAGAGCTGTTCTGTGGTTTGTACACTAACTTGTTTTTTTGTAATTTTTTGGGGTTTGAAAAGTATGCTTTTATTGTCTTTCTTTAAAATAAATGAGATTTTGTTATCTGTGGTTTACATTAAATTTTCATATTTTAGAATTGCAGATAATTTTAGGAATATGAATACTGAGAGACTTTTAGATCATGTTTCACATGAGGAAAATTGTGCGTTGTAGGGCTTTTTCTTTTACTCTTTGTCTTTCTCTTAGAATTTAGTTATTTTGAAGATCAAAAGTCATTCTTTAGCTTCACACTGCTGCAAATTAATCAAGTGTCACATCTTTTTGGTAAGCTTATTTTGAACCACTGGTCCCCATTTTGCATTTAGACATCTTTTTTTTGGTTCTTTTACTGCAACAATCCACAGTGGACAAATGATGCTGACCTTTGACCCATAATTGACACTTGTTCTTGGTTTGACCCCTGGGTCATGGTGACCTTAAATACAAGCCATGTTGTAATAATAAAGAGTGACATCTGGTTGAGGAACAGGTTTGAATTAGATAAGAATGATGTGTTCCATGCAAATGAGACACCAGGAAGTTATGTATATATCTGAGATTGTATCAACCACCCAGAACACCCCAGCTAGCAAAAGTATGTTCTAAGAACGATATGCTAATGTTCCCATTAAGTTATTTCTGATTGTTTCCTGAATGTTCAAAATGGGATATAATTTTGAGAACATTAATAGACTGGATAACTTTGAATGAACATTCTATTAACATTACAGGAAGAACGTTTTTTCATAACTTTGATATGAGCCTTTACCAAACTTTACCACACAGCAACATACTAAAAACACTTAAAAAGAACATTCAGGCAACACCAAAGCAAATTCTACTCACATTTTCTTCAGAGAAGGCCAGAAAAAACATTGAAACACAAAGATGGATGAGAACAAGAAATTAAATGAACCCTCCAATTATACAGACAATACAAAATTTTAGACATGTTTTTTAGCTTTAGGGTTAGGTAAGCAGTAGGTAAGCAATTAGAGGAAATGCCATCCCTTGATTGGCCAGCCGAGGACCAGGAAGTGCACAGGAAAAGTAAACTGGATGAGTACTTCCTCTTTGGTAGAGCACAACCTCTGCCTTCCATTTTTTCCAGATCTCCACACTGAGGTCTCAAGATACTGATTAAAACCGTACTCGGCTTGTGTTTACACTCCTGCTTTGTCCAACTATTGCATGGGTATGGGGCAATGCTTAAAGGACAAGTTCAGTATTTTACACTTAAAGCCCTGTTCTAAGATAATTTCTGATGAAATAGAACGGTTAAGATTGAAATTTGGACACATGCTGCTGGCCCGAGAATTTTCGGTTTCTGTGGTAGCACCACCCCCTCGGGCCAGCAGCATGTGTCCAAATTTCAATCTTAACCGTTCTATTTCATCAGAAACGATCTTAAAACAGGGCTTTAAGTGTAAAATACCGAACTTGTCCTTTAAGGTTAAGGAGACGTTAGCTAACTATCTCTCCCCTGAATAGGCACTGTCTCTGAAGGCTCCAACGCTGCTCACCAAGCCCTGTGGGGTTACATCTGCGTTGGTGTGCAAAGCCTATGCTGCTGCAGGTAAGGCTGGTGCTTGTCTGCACACCATGGCGGTGTTACAGACATACCAGGCTGACCTTCTTAAAGACCTGGATGTAGGCAAGGGAATTGGCCCAGAGGCTGTAAAAGAACTCCGGTGGGCCACAGATTTGGCTCTCCGCACCACTAAGCAGATGACCCGCTCCCTCGGCCATTCGATGACCCACTCATTCGGCCACGTAGAGGCACCCGTGTCTCAACCTATTGGGCAATAAAGAAAGGGATAAAGCTTTTCATTTGGACACCCAAATTGCTCACTCTGGGTTGCTCACTCTGGCTCACTCACTTCTGTGACGCCATTAATACCGTTGTTGAGAGGTTTCAGGAAGCAAAGAAGCAGTTGGTGACATTCAGTTTATTCCCTGCCCCGTGGCTGTTTCTCAACCTCAGCCTGGGCGGAGCTCAGGGTGTACATAGCAAAAAGAGAGCGTTGCTGCTTAAGCTCCCTTTCAGGGAGTCGTGAGGTCGAGACAACGGTCTCAGCCGCAGTCTTCCAGGGAGTGGGCAGATCTGAGGACTGTCATTTCCACTCGGAAGGCTGCTGGCAAAAAGTCCTGATGTCAAGGGCAAGGCACACAGAGCTTTGAGGGCAGGTCCTCTCGAGGGGGATACGTCCACACTACTCCACAGTGTGCCCAATCCCTTTCACTGCTTTCAGGATATCGGTCTGCTAACCCCGCCTTCTCCGATGTTTTGAGGTGCAGTCAATAATACAGTCATCATCATGGCAGCTGCGTCCAACGTCTTTCCTTTGGGCCTTATGTACTGTACATGAGACCACTGGCAAAGACCAAGGGGTTTTCCCCAAGGGGCAAGCCATTTCGTTTAATCAGGGTTACACGCAAATGCTTCCGTACCCTTGTGATGTGAAAGAGACCTTGGTTCTCGGCCCAAGGTCCAGTGTTGGGGCCATTGTGTCATCGCAAAACGCTAATGACAGATTCTTCCCTCACGTTCTGGGGTGCAGTCCTAGATGGCCGCTTGGCTAGGGGTCCCGGGATATCTTTATGGCACATAAATTGCCTGTATTTCTGGCTTTGAAATACTTCCTCCAAGATCTCAGTGGCTACCATGTTCTTGTCAGATCAGACAACACATCGGTAGTTGTATACATACGTAAATCAAAAAAAGGGAAAGGGAATGTCTCTGGTTCCCTGCATAGCGAATGAGACGCTGCGTCTCATTGCCATACATCCTGCATGCTTCAGTGTCTTATTTCAGCCAATCAGAAGCTGATGATGTCTAATGCAGCTTTTTCATGTCATATGACTGTCATCTGCCAATAAAATTGGCGTTACTTCACACGTATTTCAGAGACAGGTTACGTGGAAGCGTTCCCATAGAGTCAACATTCTTGCGCAGTGTCTCGTTCCCTACTCAGGTGTGTTTTTCCTTGTGAAATAATAATTAATATATCACAGAGTTAAATTAACCAGTTTCTCTCATTGTTCCACTCATTAGTCTTTACACCTACAAACTAAATACAGCACACCCAGAAACACTAAAAATGGCACTGAAGTTGGTTTTTCATGTTTGTTTGAGGAAACAAAACTCTAAAGATTTTTTAATGCATTTGAATTAAGCATTTGTCAAGTTACAAAAACATCCATTCAGAGAGTGGATGTCAAGTGGGACAGAAGAGAAAAACAATAAAGACAGAGTGAACAACTATGACTCAATGGAAAACATTAGGACAAAAAAGGCAGTTTTATTGCGATTTTAAGTGACAAACAGCATATTTTCAATGGCTTTTTAAACAACGAAATGTGCAATGAATGGGGAAAAAAAACTAATTTATTTCATTCTAATTGAAGGTGAACAGCCGTCTAACACAACACACACACACACACACATTCTCAAACAAATGCTTTCAATTACACTGACAATGGAGGAGGGAAATCTAGCTTATCAGTTGTTTGCCAATGCAATTAAAATTGATGCAGCTAATATACCAAAAATGACAGTGATCCACACATTACAGACTTGTTGTAATGATGCAACAACAGATGACAAATAGATGTCAAACATACAGTACAATACAACAGTATGCAGATATATACTGGTCCAATTGTTCATGTCACTCACCGTCAGTCATTCAGCAATAGTACACTGCCATCATGTGCAGGATGCTCAAACTTATTTCAAGAGGCAAGAAAAGAGGAATAAGGCAGCTATTCCGGAAATGTCTTTCATTTTATTACCACTTTAACAGTAGACTGTAAAGTAAGACATACACATCATCTTGTTATCAGTTTTTGAATGTTATTTGGCAGACAAGTGATGTTTAGATGGCTGAATTGTGAAAATGAAACAAAATTGACGATAATGTCAAAATACTACTTTGTAACTATAATATGCTTTCTTTCGCACACCATTCATGGTTAATTTCTGACTGTAATTTTGTTTGTAAGTGTTTTGTAAGTGTATGTTCCCGTAGGAGATTTTAAAGGGCAACAGAATGTGGGAAAGCTGTGTTGGCCTCTTGTAGTGACAATTCAGGCAGGTCTCAAGTCAGTCAGTGCATAGTCCACAGTTTGCCTTCACTGGTTACCACAACAAGTCAGGAGAAAGACCTGAACAGCAAAGACATTCAGAGATACCCACATTTGAACATTTCTGACAAGAAAACATCTGTGAGAAAACATCTCACCATAACTACAGTGGTATAGCTATATCTCTTCAAGGGGAAACAGGATGATACTTCTGTGAGAATTGGGGTAACATGGTTTACTCAGGCTGTATCCGAGCCATTATATCTTTGGATGTCTTAGCTGACAGTGCAGATTCTCTCTGCTTGTGACATTAGTCTCATTTGCTGGTCCCTAGCTGGGGGTTAGAGCAGGACTGGGCTCTGCACTGATGTTCACCAGGCACTCTGTCGACCTCAGGCTTGGCAGGGACTTACAGCTGGGTAAAGACGACAGAGAACCACACAGACCTAACATAGAGGGAGTGTAGTCTTTTTCTGAAATGAAAATGGAGATTATTGTTGAACACCAATATTAGCATTTCCTGTTGGAAAATCCAAGACTGACAAGTTTATAGGGAAAGTTCAACCAAAAATGAAATTGCTTCAGACAAATGTTGGTAACTAAGCCATTTTGGTTACAATCAGAAAAAGAAAAAAACAACACTGTGACATTTCTCAAAATATATTATTTTCTGTTCCACAGAAGAAGAAATCAAACATTTGACATTTTTTGGGGTTAACTATCACTTTTGTAAAGTTTGTATGAAACATTAGTTGCAAATGCCTTTTTATCCATATTGTGATGTATATCAAATTGAAAAGGCTAATTAAATGAGAAGAAATTTGGGGCAGCACTTGTCCATCATGAATTGGAGTTGGAGTTTGCTAATTGCTCATTTGAGTGACCGGTTGCTGGAAGGAGGGATTATTGTCCAACCCTTTGACAGGTGCACGAGTTATCATAAAATAGTTGTTGGGAGGAGGGGGGGTTATTTTCTTTAAAATTATGAGGTCGCATGAATTTAAAAATAATGATTTTAATGGATAAATCGTTTATAATAGACACTTTAAATTAATTTCTTGGTGACTTTAAGGTGGAAGCTGTACTTTGGAACATAGTAGCTGGTTTCTAGCAGGTCTTTGGCTTGTTAAAGCAGGTTTAGAAATTTGTCCAGCTGGACTACCGAGAAGGGAAAATTACCTGTTTTTCTTTCTATGTTTTTTGTTCCCAGTTGTTTTGTTTTATTTGATGCTTGATTAATCGCGGGTTCCCTCCTACATCATACCCCGGGGTTTCCTTGTGCATTCATAAAATATATTGAATGAAATGTATACATATTTAAATGAAATGAAAGATATAGATTGTAGTGCATGTTAGCTTGCTTATTCCCAGCTAACAAAAATATGTTCTAATGATTTTTGCTAACATTGCCATTCAATTTTTAAAACGTTATTTCTGACCCTTCCAAACGTCCAGTTTTTAAAAATTTTTTTAAAAATGTCTTTTTCTTGGTTATGAGAACGTTAACGGAACATTGCATATTGTAAACATTATGGGAACGTTACTTTTGAATATTCTCTGAACATTCTGAAACAAGCAGTAACATTTAAAAAAGGTTTGACGAACATCCAACCTAAACGTTTCAGAAAAAATCATTCCATGAACGATGTATTAATATTTTTTTTGTGCTAACATTTTCAGAACATTATTAAAGACCAGATAACGGAACAAACATTTTATTAATTTACTGGTAGAACATTTGGACATAACTTTGAGAGAAACTTGCCAGAACATTAGGGGAGTTCTGAGAATCCCTGTTAGCTTGGTTGATAAAAGCATGATCTATATTAAGTCGGTAACACTTTAGAATACTGTATCTTACTTACTGCATAACTAATAAGGAATTATTGAAGAACTAGTAGGTAATTCTTCATTAACTACTTCTTCACTACTGTTAATTACTAAGGAAGATGTGTTAACTAATCAGTATGTAATAGAATTGTATGATTGTGTTAAGTTACAGTTAGTTAATCAATAACTAATATATTCTGTCATACCTCCTGAAGAACTACCATTAATTATCTATTAATTCAGGTTCAAGAAAAATAACTATGAAGTAACTACTAATGAACACAGTACACAGTAGCCTAGCCAATAATCCAGTTTTTTTTTTAGCATTGTAGTGGTGGAAGAAGTACACAACTCAAGTGCTTGAGTAAAAGTACAGATATACCACAATAAAATATTACTCCAGTAAAATTATAATTAGGCCATTTTCAAAATTACCTTAGTAAAAGTACAAAGGTAATTAATTTTTAAAGTACTTAAAAAGTAAAAAGCATATTATTATACTTAGTTCTTATACATTTTAAACTTATTTTGCACCATTCAAGTTCCGGCAATATCACGGTAGCCTACATTTTACAGTGATTTGGTGATGCAAGAGCGCGGGCATTTGCATCCTCTTCTGGAGAGTTCTCAGCTCCGCCGATTTGGTGCATTTCTTCTGCGAAATACAGGATTGTGTACGTTTTATTTAATCTATTAAATCAGTACTGTGCTGTAAATCATTTTATTTTATGCAAGGCAACATACAAGGACACGAGGTCAGTTAGCCTACCTTGCTGAGTCGGTCTTTTTTGCGTGATGGAAACGCATGATCCCTTGCATAAAACACATTATTTTATTCATAAAGATAGTAAATCTATTTACATCAGATGTTAAAATATGTTCTTAGAGCTGTTTGTTAAATGAGTTTAAATGTAGGCAGTATAGATTTTAAAACAAAATATCATCTGAAATAAAGGAAGATATCATGTAGCTTAAACGAGTCGTATGTATTTTACAAAGGTTATGGATGATAACGTTAATAGTGTTTTTTTTTAACAGTAAGTTTTATTTGAGTAAGAAGTATGTGGTAAATACTAATGGGTTCCCTATATTTTCACTTTAGAATACTGTTTCAGGTTATAAGTAATTCTTGAAGAATTATCTAATAATTCTTTATTAATTACTAATAAGTTCCCTAATTTTTCACTTTAGAATACTGTTTCAGGTTATAAGTAGCCTAATTCCTGGATAGTTATTTGATAATTATTTATTAGTTACTAATGGGTTCCCTATATTTTCACTTTAGAATACTGTTCCAGGTTCTAAGTAATTCCTGAAGAATTACCTAGTAATTCTTTTATATTTTCACTTTAGAACACTGTTTCAGGTTATAAGTACCCTAATTCCTGGATAATTATTTGATAATTATTTATTAATTACTAATGGGTTCCCTGTATTTTCACTTTAGAATACTGTTCCAGGTTATAAATAATTCCTGAAGAATTATCTAATAATTCTTTATTAATTACTAATAAGTTCCCTATATTTTCAGTTCCCCTCAGTTGTTGCCTAAAATACATGAATTTACTCAATGGCATTCTATGCTGAGGAAAACAGACACACACAGTACTGTATATAAAATATAAAAACTAATCTGAGGTTAGTTTTGTATGACTGTTCATTAGTTACTTCTTAGTTATTTTTCTTGAACCTTAAATAATAGATAATTAATGGTAGTTCTTCAGGAGGTAGACAGAATATATTAGTTATTGATTAACTAACTGTAACTTAACACAATCATAAAATTCTATTACATACTGATTAGTTAACACATCTTCCTTAGTAGTTAACAGTAGTGAAGAAGTAGTTAATGAAGAATTACCTACTAGTACTTCAATAATTCATTATTAGTTATGCAGTAAGTAAGATACAGTATTCTAAAGTGTTACCATTAAGTCCACATAATTCTGTAAATACTAACACAGGTCGAGATCTGTAATTCCAACTACACAAGATTGCCTTGCTGTTTGCGAATGTTTGTTGAAACTTTGGTTTCGGTAAACACTGAATTTTTGAACAATGTTAGTAAAAACAGAACTTGCGACCACAGTTGGCTAACAATGTTTTTGGGAAACGCACCCCAGGTCTGTCAGTCTCCTCCTAAGTGGGTATTTCCTGCCAGAATAAGCTCTAAAGAGGACCACACCTCATGCTGATAGTCAAAAGTCTAGCAACCATGCTCCAAAAACCTGCTTATCCATCTTACAGCTAGTAGCTTAGCTGAACAACCACCACAACCAGCTTGGACAAGACAGCAAGGTCAAAACAAAGCTGCCACCTTAAAGTCACCATGAAATCAATTGGACAATTCTTATTGTTTAAGAATTGCAGTAATTATATTGCAGTGTTTATCAATTTTTTATTGATAAACACTTTGATTTTTATTGAATTTTTTATCGCATCGTTTTATTCATGTGCCCTTTTAACCTTTAATCAAAATGACTTCCCCTCCCTCTTGCAATGGCATCTCTTCTCTTCTCTGATGACGTGTTTACTGCCATGATGGCGGGACAGCCTGTCACTCACATGAGATCACAGCAATAGCAAACCACAATGAACTGAAATTCCTGATGGACAAAATCAAATTTATTTCTTTATTTTTGAGAAGCCGTTTCACCCGGATATACAATAGTGAAGATACTATTGCAACTTCATGCCAACATTTAAGGTGTACCTGCTGTGCACCAGGCTTTTCCATTTTGTTTCCTTTCCGTCCTCTGAGAATCTGTGGTTAAGCTGATATGTGGATCCGGGCTGGGGAAACTACCCCTAAAGGCAACAACAGACCCACAGCACAAGTGTATCTGCCGTTAAATCTTTGTCAGCATTCTAGATATATTTGAAGCAACACAAACTCAATTCACAAAGCCAGTTGGTTAATGACTGGGAATTTAAATAAGCTGCTACAATGTATGAAAGAGAGCCTTTTATCACCTGTGGTACAATTTCCTGTCCTCCTGGTTATTGTATTTGTGGAGTGATGGCCACTGGTTAACAAGAGGGATTGACAAATCCTTGGAAAGAGGATGTGATTCACCTGGAATCAGACTTGTCCTGCAATACAGTAAAAGACAAAACATATTATGGACTTAGTGAGTAAACAATGTGATGTGTATGTCACTGATTCTTGAGATACTGTACGTCCCACTGTATTTTTGTTTGTTTTGTTTTTACCAGACATTCATTTTTAAAATAGCAACATTTCCACTTTGAAATGAATCAGAGATAATCACTAAAATGTTCTAACCTGCCATTTACTTTGATTTACTCTTATTTTATTGCAATTATTACATTAAATCATCTCTCACTAGCCCTAAAATCACCTGTCCTCAGATCATAATTTAATACATCATATATATAAACATATACAATAAACGTAATATTATAATATGTGTCTTAAAAAGAAATCTTTAAAAATAAACATTTTATACAAATTTACTACTGATTTTAGTTGACATGATCAGTTATTTATATATTAAAAAACAATTATAGTCATATTTCATGACACAATCATGATGTCAACACTGTCACGCAAATAGTAAAGAATTTTTTTGGTATTGTTAGATAATTTCCCAAAATTTAAGTAGCTAGAAATACAGGAAAAACAAAATGGCTACATATGTGATGTGCCAAAATATGATTATTTTCAAAATAATAAATGAAGGTGAAAATGTGTCTGAAACCATTCTGTGTCGTAAATTCATTCATTCATCATTATGAATGTAAGACGTGTCAATGTTTATACATATTTATTTCAACTGTACATGTTTATGTATCTGACAGTGTTGATTCATATTCAATTATTGGTAAAGCAAATGAAAGAAGCAGAATGTTTGACAAAAACAGGTGAATATGTCTGAACCAATTAATCCAAAATAATTCCATAAACATCCCATGTCTTAAAAATCAGAGGTGTGTGTACTGTATGTTGCTCTCACAGTTGTTCCTGCAGCTCTAGTATGATGTTCTCCAGTTCTCTCTTCTCTTTCTGACTCTGTAGTTGCAGTTCTTCTAGTCCAGCTGTTAGTTTCTTATTCTCCATCTCCACATTCTTCAGCTGAGATTCCCGCAGCCTCACCAGCTCCTCAAGGTACCCCTAAACACAAATAACAAACACACTTTAGCACATGAAACATTCATTTTAAGTGTTACTCACTCACTATAGGAAATCATGTTTGTGTGTATGTGTGTGTTTAACCTTTTGCGCATTGACGATCTTGAATCTCTGCTCCATTTTGCGGCACTTGTTCCTCCAGCTTTCCTCATCGGTGACCAGAGGGATGTAAGGATGATCAACGCTGTCATCACTGTTACTGCTGTCCACGCTCTGACCGTCCTCATCGTCACTAAGATAATCATAACTGAACAAAATACAAAATCTCATTGCCATGGCAACACAGCAGTGGCACTAAAGGCTGTTCACACTAAGGATTATAACAATAAAGAATATAGTTTTAAAATCATTCTAAATGTCCACAACACAACTATAACGCCACAGAGAAACGATATCGTTGGAATCACTTTCACAATGATTTTTTTCCAGCTGATGAGCAATAAAAACATTGGCAGCCAACCAGAATGACCACATGTGATTGTGCATTGTCATAATTACTGATAAACTGATTAATATATTAAGCCTAAATTTAGCTATAGTGAAATTGTCAACACCAACCATAACTGTGACTACCAGGATGATTAACAGAAATTCAGAAATTAATTAAAAGCTACTTTTTAATGAAAAGGTTAAAGACTCATGATTCGTCAGTTTGAATCAGTTCGACAAATGACTCGCTAAATCTGTCCAAACAGTCACTGAATTCACATCTGACTAAACTCTATAGATTTACTTTAGAAAATAGTTTTTCTAAACTATTTCCAAAATTTTCCAAAATCAGCCTTATCAAAGAATAACGCGTTTTCCATTTTCATAATATTTTGGGCGAATTTTAAGTTAATATTGTACAGTATATAATTTCATTTTACTTCAACAATGTTTTGTGTATTTCTTATGATAAAATATCATTAATAGTTAATTGTGATCAGATGTAATATTGGTTGGTCACTTATTATAATGCAGTATTATTAACAGCAGAAAATATTTCAGAATAAACGTTTAGCGGGAGTGAGCTACTTTCGGTTTCCAGTGAAGGAACCAGAGCATTGTGGGCAGTGGCTAAATACTGCAAAGAATCGTAAACAGGAAGAGAACACCATGATGGAAAATCTGAAAAACCTCCATAGTCTCCATTTCAAACTGGATGACATCTCCCAAACAGAGGCGAAAAACTAAAAAAAAACTATTTTGGAAGAAGAGGAAACTTCTGCCCAACCCGAAGCAAAATGCTGTCGTTATGTTAATGTAATTTAAAGCAACAATAAAAAAGACTTTGCAATGTGGCACAGTGCATTTATTCAGCAACCACAACCGCAAACAATATAGTCGAGATTAATGTTTGGATTTATTACAGTATTTTACTGAGAAAGAGTGTGTTCACACTTGTAGTTCGGTATGCTTCGTTTGTTTGGTCCGGACCAAAAAACAGAAACAATAATTTATCAGTCGTGGTCCGCTTGGCTTTCAGATTGCTATTTTTATCACCGAACCTAAATATACCAACCCTAAAGGCAAAGGGATATGTTCACAAACTGATTGGTCGGCTTTTATGACGTATTGCCTAATTTGAATCTTCCCAAACATCCAAAACAACGCTGTGTGCGTTAGGGTTAGTAATGCGCTGGTTGTGTATACGTAGCATATATATGATGGTATTTTGACCGTCTGAGAACATACCAAGTGTGAATACACCCTTAGTCACAGCAAATACCACAAGAGTCCTCATGAAAGAACACAGATGCAATGAAAGCTTGTGGAGGCTTGTTACCAGTGCAAAGACCAGCAGGCCAATATCGCTGACGATTATGCTTAATTTATCGAGAGAAGCAGAAATCGGGATCACGATTAAAATATGATTGTGCAGCTGGGTGATATAAATAAAATCTAAACATCTCTCCCACACCCTTCCCTGCATGAAACTGAGTTGTACTGTAGAATATAAAAGTTCTTCACCTTTGTGTGAATTTCAGATAAGGAGTGTAGTCAATAACAGCCTCAGACTTCCCATCCAGAGCCTCCCCTTTCAAACAGAAACTGACAACAAAGACAGATCAACAAAGATTACATAACATTGATTTCACTGCATAACATTCTAGCACAGTTACAGAACCAGCATTAAAGTATTGTACGCTTTACATTGGCGTGGTTGCTGCCTATGTACAGCTTTCCAAATCAGTTACTTACAGTATAAGTTTCTACTTCAGTTTGTGTTTTGTATTCCTCAGTTTATTACCCCTTCCAATATCCATCCTCTTACCTGAAGTCAATCGCTCCGAGTCCAATGAGCATTCCAGTCAGAACAGTTGCTTCTTCTCGCAACATTATGGCGCCTTCATCGTAGAACCTCCTGTAGACAAACACACATATGCAATACATAAACACACACATCACATTATAGATGCACCATTTTCTTCATTCAATAGTTTAATGTTCTTAATGGCTGTCTAAATTGTTATCTTAAAACTGGATATATGTATATGTATTGATGCCTGGGTGTGACAATAAATGGATCATATTGGTGGTATGATTAATATTGAGTTTTCTCTTTAAGTCTGACCTTGTGGTGCGACTATCTCGCAAAGCTGTGGCGATGTATTCAGACAGACGTTTCTCCATTAGTGCAACCCGTAGCCATGCTCTGCCCTAGAGGCACGGATGAATCACATATCACTGCAAGCTTCATCATACAAACCATATCAAACATGCATATGCTGCAGAAACATTAATGAACACCTTTATTAAAATAAGTTGAGTCTATTAAGTGTTTATGAGTATAAAACATTCCCCTGTACTCTTGTGTAGGAGTATTCATAACAGTTTTCCAAAGTTTTATTAACACTCATGTCATTACAAAACCTGTATGACTTTCCTTCTTCTGTGGAAAATAAAAAAGGTATTTTGAAGAATATTGGTAACCAGTTGGTAAACAGTTTTGGTTACACTTGACTTTCATTGTATGTACAAACATTTTTGAGACATTTCTCAAAATGTCTTCTTTTATGTTCCACAAAAGAAAGAAGGTAATACAGATTTGGAATGACGCGAGGAGGAGTAAAGGATGACACAATTTTCATTTTTGGGTGAACTATCACTTTAAAGTAAGATCCTAGGTATTTATATCTTACCATTACTGTGGCACAAAAAAAGTACCAGGTATTTATTTATCCTACTATAACTATTTGGCATGCCCACCTTTGCTCGTGAGGAGTTGATGTTCTCCATGTTCTCAATGCTGCTTATGCAGTTATTGGGAACTTTACTGCAGGCCAGACGGATGAAGTCCCAGAAACTGCGCTGACCATCAAACCAACTGCCAGAGCCTGCAAGAGACATGCTTCCATTCACATCACTTAAATACATCCTTAATGTTCTTATTAGGTTAAAAAGCAAGTGTGCCAGTGATTTTGTATGCACTGTCTTGCCTTTAAAGCGGTGGCTGAGGATGTGTTCCAGAATAGCAGCAAAGTTAATGAACTCCTCAGATGAGTCATCAATGGGCTCTGCTGTGTACTTCTCTAACAGTGTCTTTACAGAAAACCTGCCATACAAACACAAACAATACAATGTACTCCAATATGGAAAAAAATATTGCATCTATAAGAGACTTAAACAAATCCTACAGACCTATTGTATGCCAAATTATACACTATGCACTATAAACGATGCACTATGTACCATGTACCTAGTATTAGTATCTAGTATATTTTGTCATCCAACATCATAGTCTGATTGCCCCTCAGCTACGCAAGGAAAATTGGGACAGTTAAGTGCATGAAGTGTCCAAAATTCCACACTTTGTTTTTTTAATTATTAAGTGCATCATCTGACTATTTGAAGTGCAATTTTTTTTCTTTTTGTTCCAGTGTGAACACACTACTCACACTAGTATTTATACAACGAAATGGCATAGAAAAGCACTCAAATTGGGAATAATTTATCTGGTTTCCATTATGTTTCAATACTTACACCACTGATTCCCTGTGTTTTTTTTCCTCTACTGTGTTTTTTGCTTTCCTGGTTGATTTTATTTGCAATGCATCCAATAAATATCTTTCTTATTTCATCAATTTTAAATGTGTGTTGTCTGTAATGTATTGTCGACCAATTAGGCTACTTGGGCTCAATCCCATTTCACCCCTTGCCCCTACCCCCTGTTTTCGAGTGTACCCCTTGGCCCTTAAAACAGAGTTACAAGGGCCAAGGGGTTGAAATATTCCCCTATGAAATGGAACAACCCTTCATGAACCCGATACATCATCAGTCGTCGACGATGGCTCTGACGTTACGGAAGCAAAGAGTTTTTACAGGATTTCTCCATGACAACGACTGACAATAAGCGCTGCTGCTCTTACCTCTGAGGAAACATGATGTTTATAACGTTCCTTCCTCGAAGTGTATGTCTTTTCTGTTTCGGAAAGGTAATTTATTATACAATTTCTTAATTTAAATGACTATATTATTATTATAAGAGTAAATAAAGTGCATGCTGGTGTCATCTGGGGATAAATTTAAATGTTTAACCGTTTGCGAAGCCATCTTGCCGGTGATTCGCGATGCATTCTGGGAACTTTCTCATAGCCCATAGTGTGCCTCTGAAAAATCTCAGTTTCGAGGGCTATGTAGCCCTACCCCTTCGCCCTGCCCCTCTATCGCAACAAGAATCGGAAACCCTACCCCTAAATGTGAACACGCAAAACGGAGGGCCAAGGGGTGAATTGGGATTGAGCCTTAATGTCTCAAGTGTACTGCCGAATGTAATGACAAACATTTATGGTAAACTTAAATATACTTCAATGACTTTTCTATTGAAGCTTGAATATAATGATTTAAATATGTGTAATTACACATTCGTAATGATAAAGTTGCAATTTGCAGCCATTCCCGAAATGTCTGCCTGTTCCGTGTCGACCAAGTGAGTTGTTCCTGAGATCTATCTGTCCTGTATCGGCCAAGGAGGCCATCCCTGAGAAGTCTGTCCATTCTGCGTTGACCTAGGAGGCCATTCCTAAGAAATTTGTGTGTACAGCCTGCACTGCCCAGTCCTTCAGCCCTGTCCTCACTGTCTCACTCCAGCAGTCCTTCGTCTCCTCCAACTCTGCCTGATCTAAGCATCATGGATCCGCCTTGGACTGCTTGTTCTCCAGCTCAGCCCTGGATTGTAGACCAGTTTGCTCCGCCTAGAACCTCCACCTCGGCCAGTCGACAAGTCGTCTCGGCTCCACATGGGACCGTTGTCCCTATGGCTCCACCGGGATTCCTCGTCCTTCCGGCTGTGCCTTGGTCATTCCGCACTCGGCCTTTGCCACAGACTTCGGGGCCTTCAACTACGCTTTGTCCCTTCATCCCTTTGGCTCTGTAGGGCTCCGCCTTCCCTTTTGCCCCACCTCAGTCCTCGGGCGCACCGGCTCCGCCTCAGTCATCCAGCACCCTGGCTTCACCTCGTCCGATCCTCCCCGCAGCTAAGACCTTCAGTGTAGCCCGGACTCTTCTGCTTTTCGGCTTTGTCTGGGTCTCCATCGCCATCGACCTCGTCTTGGTCGTTCGCCCCCTGGTCCAGTCTGTATAGTCTCCACCATGGCTCCTCCCTCCCTCGACTCTGCCGTGGGCTTTCGTCCTGGGATTGCGGCTTGGGATTCCACCCAGGCTCCTCTTCCCATTAACTCATCCCTGTTTTCTGCCTCCATCGTCTCCTCCCTGGACTCTTCTGCTGGTTGCTCTTACCTGGCTCTTATGTTTGTCCCGTGTGCCTGCCCTGCGCCCACCTCCTAAGCCCCCTCCCTCCTCTGTTGAACTTTTTTGTATTTGCTTGTTTACTCTAAGGCGCGAGGCCGCACCTCCTTGAAGGGGGTAAGATCTTAAGGGTAATCTGGTATAATTCTGTTTGGGGTGGGTTTTACACGTGTTTAGTTCAGTTTCCTTTGTTTCCTTTTTTTTATATTTTTTTTTTATATAGTTTTAAGATTTGAAGTACACTTGAAGTGCACACTAAATGCAATTATGTGCACTTCTTTTTCAAAAGAGATAATAAAAAAAGGTGTCACAAGGCAATCTATGGTAAAGCATTACCACAATCTTTATCCACAATATTTGTCCACACTAATACATTCCATATTTAACATTTTTTAAATAAAATAAAAATCAGATACAAAGATATGTATCTTATATATGCATTTTGTATCTTACAAAACCTTATAAATCTTTAATACACTAGAGTCTATGCATTAAAAACCTGTTGTGAGAAGCAATGGTGAGGTAATAGCCAATGATGATATGATGAGTAAGTGTGTTCCATTGTTTGGATCAATGTACTAAATGAATCTTTCTGATAAATGACTAACAATTTTCTACTTAATTACTTACTGTACTTTCTCCACAGAAAGGCCTAGGTCATGTATATAACCGCTGTGTTTTGAATGTATAGAACAGATACATAGCATATTAGCGTATATAGTGTTCTACTGTAGAGCCAGTAAATGATGGTAGTATTTTGTCATGTTGTTAACTCTTTAGCCAAGCATTCACACAATGCTTACCTTTTATACTACTGTTGAATCAGATCGAATGCATTAATATTATGAACAGTAGCTATGCTAATTATTTCCCATCTGCTTTTCTGCTGTTATCTCGGGACGCTAGTTATCTCAGGACTGCCAGTTATCTCGGGACTGCTCGGGGACTGCTGTTATCTCGGGACGCTAGTCCCGAGGTAAATAGCGTTCGTCAGTTCCAGTTTGTATCCAGCCTCTCACGGAGACTTCAGATGCCTCAACACCTGCGATGAGATGACTAAACGCCTGTGAAGAGACGACTCAACGCCAGCAATATGTTATGCCCTAAATTAATACATGATTAACTAACTGTATTTTTTCTATGTACATTTCTGAAATGCACTTTCTGTAAAGCTGCTTTGAAACAATATGTATTGTGAAAAGCGCTTTACAAATAAATTTGAATTGAATTGAATTGAACATAATAATCTCTAAAATGTTTTCTAGCAAATTTCGACTGTTTTCTTGCTGAATATTATTAGGTAAAATATATTAAATTGGGCTTTTAGAATCAAATCAGGGTTAATCAATGTAGCCTATCACACATCTGAAAGTGGGTTGCATCCGCTTTTACCCTGGGTTATGGAGCATGTAATACTGAAAAAAAATGTAGAGGGAACCATCTTCATAGACCCTAAACCTAAATAATTAATTTGTAATTGTATTGAATTAATGATATTGTTTGTAATCTGATTCCGTAATTTTAGTGAGATATACTGTAGCATTTTATATTACATTTCATTTCATTTTAAGATTATATAGTCCTACATGGAAGTAATGAGTTATTCCTGTCAATGCCAAAAACAGCAGTGACATCACCATCAATTGTTCTGATCACAACAATGTCTCTTTCAGTACAGCCCTCCACAGCAATACAAAAGGCAGAGTATGGCCTGACAGCCAGAGACTGGCAGGAAAAACCTTGGTCCCACTTTTTATTAGGTGTCACTCTTAACTATGTATTAACGTCAAAAAAGTAATTGTACACTCTACTTATAGTGTTCATGTTGTATTGTATTGCAAAACATGCTAATGCTAGAACATTAACATGCTAGCATGCTAGAACCTTTCAGTTCTTCAAAGAAAAATGTATTACACTATTTTACAGTATGTGTACTCAAAGTGTAGTTACCAAATAAGGTACTGGTAAGGTAACTACATGGGTTAAGGTTAGGTTTAGGGATAGGTTCAGGGTTAGTACTTAGTAATAACCCAGTTATTGTAATTGCTACAATAAGTACATATACGTACATTCGGAACAGGACTGTAAAATAAAGTGCTACTGAAAAATGTTGTTCTTAGTGTTAAGAACATTTAAATCACAATAATAATTGTTATGTACAATGTACTTATTCTGTTCATGTATGCAAAACTCTTTTGCTAAGGTGGGATACGGGGAAGGTAAGGGACAGGTTGGTTGTATGGTTAGGTTTAAATGTGGGTTAAGGGGGAAAATATCCATAATTATAACTTTATAAACTGTAATCACTAGTTTCCGGTAACATCTGTCGTGCGTTCACAAGAGAGTTAGTTCTGGCGTATGAAATAGGATGTAGGAGTAGGAGTAGCGTAAGCTTAGGTGAGAGTAGATGCCTTGCGGTTCTTCAAACAAATTGGGCTGGGCAAAAAACTCAAGCTCCTCTGACATTTCTCTTTAAAAATTCTCATTTTGTACTTCTATTTCATGGCCGGTGTTTTGTTTTGCTCTATCTTCTGCAATTCCGCGTTCGTCAATAAGACATGCGTCGGGAGGTCACTCCAGAACTCGACTCGCATACGGAAGCCAGTGATAGTTTACAAAGTTATGGATATTTTTCTTAGAAAAACGCATCGCTTCGCTTCAGAAGGCCTTTATTAACTCTCTGGAGCGTATGGATTTGTATGATGGATGGATGCGGCTTTTTGGGCTTCAAAATCTCAGTTTCTATTCACTCCCATTAAAGCTTGGAAGAGACAGAATATTTTTTAATATAACTCTGATTGTGTTTGGCTGAAAGAAGAAAGTCATATTCACCTAGGATGACTTAAGGGTGAGTCAATTATGGATAATTTTCATTTTTTGGGTGAACTAACCCTTTTAGTGGGCCCAAAACGTTCAATTCTTCAATTCGATAAATCTGTACAGCACAGCAGATTCCCAGCAGCTCTGATGCCCTTGCGGGAGGAAGGTTGTCGTCATAGCGACGACATCATCCGGGGAACAGACATAAATCACATCGCGTGCCATGACGACCGGTTTCAAAAAATAATGTTCGTGTTCACAGACATTTGATAATATAACCTGCCCTTAGAATTAAATATATTCAGACAGACTCGTAAAACCATGTCTACAGAACTTAACTAAAGATCATAGCGATCCAGACATCCGTAAAGTCTGTCAGTCCTCATCTCCAATCTACAGATTTCTTTGGGTTGATGGTGAAACGTTCACCTTTGTTGTCAGCAAGCCTCTCTATAAACCCGTTTCACATTTAGTAAACGAATTAAGGTAACAAATTCAGCAGAAAAATGGCATTTGTTCGGATCGCATGACTCCGCGTAAGGCCGTAAACATTGCAACATATAGGCTACTGTACATTCGTGAGTTCTGAAGGTTTGCCACTCACCTACAGACCGTGATCAGGTTTTTTCTTTCCACGGCGATGCTTCTGGAGAAGCCTTTCTTGGACTGTGCACCCATAGCCATCGCGGACTGCATGAAACTCTGCTCCATCCCACTGGACCCCTCCCTTACGCCACAAACACACACACCCGCATTCAGAGATGAGGCATATAGGCTACAGGCGAAGACAGTCGATATGAAAAAGCCATTCTCCACTATTATAAAGTGCTGCTGAACAGAGGCGTTCTCCTTGAGCGCTGTTAAGAGAGACACTGATGGCGACGTCTGCACCCCTCCTCTATACTGACCTCATCATGATCTCAGCATCCACGGATCAGCAAAATCATTTTAAGGATGTTTCACATTTCTTTCAAATCCCGGAAGAAGCTCTTCTTATCAAACAACAATGAGGCAAAATTCATAAGATTAATTCAGTGGAAAGGTTATTTTAAGAGGGTGGTTTAGTGCTGAAGGGATGCGCATGAAGGACGCACAGACCTTTCCAACGCTGCTGAGACGCAGGGAACTAATGCGGTCGCTAGAGGGCTCTAGTCATAGAATAAGCGGGTCGGAAATCGAAATAAAGCATAGGCTACTACCAGGCACGGCTGCAGGATGAAATGACTGAGCGCGGGGGCATGCGAAATTGTTAAGGGGGCTTAACCATAGATATCATATAATAAAGGCTAAATTATTATATGATATCTATGGGCTTAACTTTATACCAAAAATGAACAATCAATACACACCTCGCTTTGGAACAACAGAGTTTTAAATGCAGCGCTCCATAAAACACTCCATATGCAACTGCACAGGTAACCGCGTAATAAAAAGATAAGCCAGCATAATTTATGATTCATATATGAACTCTTACTACCATGCTACTAGGTTGCCATCTGGCTAAATAGTATAAAAATCAATGTCCGCCACATAAGAAAAAATAGATAAATCATGCTTTGCTAAATCATCATGACATTTAAAAAAAATCATAATTATGTGATAAAAAAGCTACATTATGATATAATTAGTCATAATTATGATATAAAAATAATGAAGTAAAAAGTTTAATGGTGGTTATGCTAAAAAGCTTAAAGTCCCTATCAAAATGTTACGTTTTTTGGCTTTTAGTATGAATATGTTAGCCGTAAGGTTATCTAGTTAGGCCCAAATAGTGTCACGGTTCTGCAAGAGATGGGACCCAAATGCAAATGAGCAAACAAGGGGTTTTTATTTACAAGACAGAAGACAGCAGGGAGAGTGAAGCATGAACCACAGTTCAGACAGTAGGGCAGGGCAGACGACACGACGACAGGCAGGATGGGTAACCACTGAGACGTCAGTAAGATGGTGATGACGTGAGTGCAATAGAGGCAGCTCCAAAGCAAAGACCAGACAGGAACACAAGGAACTCGTAGCTCGATGAAGATCTCAGCTGTTGCACCAGTCTAACCACCAGGTAGAGGCTCACAGAACCAGAGGCTTGAAACAGGAGCTAGATAGCTGCACCAGTCAGGCTGCCAGGCAGTTAAGAGTCAGTGGCCAGGGGACTCCGGATACAGGGCAGGAACACACAAGACTCGACTCAAGACAAGACAGACAAGATAAAGCAACAATAAAGATAACCAAAACTAAACTGATAAGATCAATGACTAGAGAAACACAAAGAAATGAATATATAAAAAGCAAACTAATGGGAAAAAAAACTAAGATCTAAGATAAAAAAAACTGGAGCTAAAGAGAAGCAAGACTTTCACTTGCATGGAAAAGAAGAACTAAAGAAAATAACTAAAAATAAATTTTCTAAAACAAGAGAACTCAAACTAGATTATAAAGCACAAGAGCTAAAGCTAAGCAAAACAAAATAGCAACAAGGATAATCTGACACTGGGGCCCTTGACGGCAACATTGCCCAGCAACATTGCTCAAAAAGTTGCCCCGTGTTGTATCATCACCTTTAGTGTGCTCCATAACAATGACAAAATTCACATTCAGAAGATTAAAGCGTTCAAAACTTACAGTCTTTGCAAAACGATTTTGATGACATCACTCTGCACTTCAGCTTTCTCATCAGATTTTCTGTCCAATCAAATTCTCTAGAATCTAAAGCGTCCTGCCCCACATTAAACAGACACTGAAGCTGCGGCTGAAATTGGTCACTTGTTCGCACAAATACTATTTTCTATATGGTGAATAACATATGCACTACACTGTAGGGTATAGGGGACGATATTTAGAGTGTAAATATGCTTTCCAGTGGAGTGAATGAAGTCTGGTTTCATGCAAACCGCTGCAGTGCCCACCACACAATCTGCTCCGGTCCAGACACGCGATAGCACAGCGGATCATATGCGCGAGTCGGCGCTCACCAGAAAACATAACGGACCCATTTGAATTCTGTACAGAATGCTATATTTTAAAACGATATGGAGGAGATTAGGAGATTAGGAGGAGAAACTGTTAGACAGACTCAGCATTAGAAACAGCACTGACGAGTAGAACATAAATTAGGCTACACACTTTTCAAACTACACTTCGTCGTCAGCATGATTATGTTCACCGTTTTGCTTTAGTGAGTTTCATATTAAATCTAAAAGAATCTATTAGACTGTGGCTTTTAAATGCGGCTTTGCAGAGCTCAACGGCTCTGGCTGAGCTGTGATATAAACGAAACGTTATTGGCCATTTGTTTTAAAGCGAGGAGCTGCTCGATATTTCCCACCCTGTCTTCCTGTTTCAGTGGAAATTATGTCAACACATTGAATAACACTGCCCATTTCAAGGCACTTCAGTGGGCCTAATGGAAGCATAATGGTGGTTATGTTCAAGTCATGTGACCGTGCAGTTTGTTGTATTTAGGTTTCAAAATTTATAAAAGTTGTTCATTTGTCAAGATTATCAATGAAAAAATGTGAGAATTATAATTTTTTTGTTGGTCACACAGAGCATATTTTCTGCAATAATCCGAAAGCCAATGAAAAAATCCTATTGTTTTTTTTTTTGTCAAGGGTACAAGGAGCAATTGTAACTTCTGGGTTGGCCAACAAAAGGACGTCATCACTATACAGCGCTCCATTTTAGAATAGCGTAGTAGGAAACATACAGTAGAAACCTAAACAATGCAAAATAATAATATTGTGACTGTCAAACCCAAATAACCACAGTTCAAAATGATGAAAAATATTAATCTCTATAATTTATTTATACTTGGGATTACAATAAAATGTTTTATTACATAAACCAAGATGCGATTAACGTTACACCATTGACTTGCTTTCCACTCACTGATCAGCTATAATTTTATATTCAGTTTGTTTCCACCATATTTCATATCCAACGTCACAACTTATGTAACATCTAGAATTCAGAGTGTCCGACTTGTAAAAATGATTTTGCTTGGTCACTCATGTGCTCGGAACACTTAATTATGATCTTTCCAACATATATTAGGTTCTAGCCTCGCGGCCCAGATGCTGTTGTGGGTGGTTGTCAGAGTGTTGTTTTATGGATGCAGGAGGGTTTTACTTTATATAGTTGCTAGAGTGTTGTGGGTGGTTGCTAGGTTGCTTACTACCTCAAACCTATGGTGATTTATTTTTAGTGTCTGATTACAAATTTACTCTCTTTAAAACTCATGCCCACGTTTGATGCAGTTACCAATATATCCACCAGAGGTCCTCTTGTCAGCATCTTACGAATTGCTAAGACACATTATCTGTTTGTTGTTGTTGTTGTTGTTGCACTGTGAATTGTAAATATGAAAATGTGTCAGTAATTGTTCACTGAATGTACATTGCAGATTCATAATGCCAAAAGAATAACAGACAATACAGTTGACAAGTTTAACATGCTTGCACATTTGTCTGTGAGGCAGGCCGAGACTGTCTATGTCCTGGTCTAGGTTTGGACCTGAAGCTCAGCTGTGAAATTCCTAACTGCAATGAGAGGGCGTCTAGGGCAGGGTACTGAAATACTGTGAAATGAATAGAAATACTATGGAGGAAAGATCCATAGTACAAAGACAAAAGGTTTGTTTCAAATTAGGATTGAAACCATTGGTATGTGAAAGTGTTTGCTATTGACATATTATGCATCCTTTCACATCCATTTTTAAAACCTCAGTTAAACCTCACCAAACATTTTTAATCATATAATTAATATCTCCACTTACAATTATATCTCCACTTGTCACTGATTTCGTATAGTTAACCCTAACAAAAAATAAGTGATACTTCAAGTTCAAAGTCTTTTTATTAAGCATACTTAAGTAAAGTTCAAGTATTTTAAGCATACTTTATGTTACAAGTATACTTATATCAATGTACTAGTAGTATACTTGTAAGTGTACTATTTCAATACTGCTTGGGGCTAAATTGGCCCACTTTTTAGTGTATGAAAGAATATATTTTAAGTATATTTTAAGTGTAACAGTAGTAAACTTTGAGTACACTGGTTTACAACTAAGTTTTTTACTGCAGCTATACTATAAGTGATAATTCACTAGTTAAATATGTGTCGCACATTTTTATAGTTAATGAAAGTACACTTCAGTAAACTTTAGTAGTTTTATACAGCAGGTATACTTGTATTTTTTCTTTAAGTGAACCTAACATCGTACTTAAAGTTTACTATACATTACTTATGCGCTAAGTTCCTATTTTTATACATGAAATATACCATTAACTGCACTACAAGTAGATTTGAATTACATTCCTATGTACCAGTGGACTACACAAAACAAAAATTTACATACACATTTCTGTTTGTTATATAAATTAATTTTTAAAACAAATCTATTGTATTGTGTGCCAAAACATGTAAGTTTATGTAAAATTATGTTGGTGGTGGGGGGGGGGCAATGACAAAAAAAAATATTTTTTTTGTCATTGCCAGGTGGATTTGTAAATCTAAAATCACTCTATTTTATGGAGTAAGAAAGTCGTGTCAAGCATATTGATCACTGACGAGAGAGAGAGAGAGAGAGAGAGAGAGAGAGAGAGAGAGAGAGAGAGAGAGAGAGAGAGAGAGAGAGAGAGAGAGAGAGAGAGAGAGAGTGTGTGTGTGTGTGTGTGTGTGTGTGTGTGTGTGTGTGTGTGTGTGTGTGTGTGTGTGTGTGTGTGTGTGTGTGTGTGTGTGTGTGTGTGTGTGTGTGTGTGTGTGTGTGTGTGTTTGTGTGTGTGTGTGTGTGTGTGTGTGTGTGTGTGTGTGTGAAAGAGGAGTAGCCTATTACAATGTCTTGATCTTCCCTCTCACTAAGTCAATAAACTACAGCATTATGCAACCTTCCATACGCTCAAAAAATATCTAGCCTAAATGTAAGATTTATGTATTTGAATTGCATATAAAATGTCCATCCATTGATGCATATTTGTCAGTCATACTGTACATAAATGAAACAGGTCAGATTTCTGCACTCAAAAAATTCATGGCATATAGTTTATTATTAACTACTTGCGTCTATTTCATTTTATATAAAAGGGGACCTGTTATGCAAAATTCACTTTTACATGGTGTTTGAACATAAATGTGTGTCAGCACAACCACCCTATAATGGTGAAAATCCACCCGCTCCTCTTTTTTTAATCCCCATTAATCGTAAGCAGTGTCTCAGAACAAGCCATTTGCAGGTTTTAGCTTTTGTGTCACAAATGATTAGGCCCCGCCCACTAAGCTAACGAACTCTGCCCTATTAGCATAGACCCCGCCCTCAGTGAGCTGTACAGTGTACACAGTCCGCCATGTTGATCTCCTCGCCAGAGCATGCATTCAAGTAAGAAATGTATTCTTATTAAAGCTACAAAAGTTATTCAATCAAGAGCAATAAGTGTATTTCTGTTTTTCTTTTTGTTGTTTGATTCATATTAAAGCTACAATATGTAAGTACTTATAATGTAGTATTTATATATGTAATAAATAATTTTTTTATAAAAGCACTTACGTTAATTATTCAGTTAAAATGTGTTTTATTTGTGCTGTAAAACTATTTACATATTTTTTTATAGTGATTTTAAGGTCAACAAGTTTATGGTGTTCAATTGATATGGCAACAGACTTGTAAAATTGAACATAACTTTACACAGGTACAGTTATTAAGTGGTTTTAAAACTAAATTCGTGTTAACACGAATATTGTTGACATCATTTGGCTATTCTATTGAAACACTGTATATTTTAATACGGATAAGCCCCATCCACTTTTCACGAGTTCACACTTACATCAATTAAACAGAGTAAAGATTATGCGTATTTGGCGTGCTGTCCGGGGGGAGGGCTCCGAGCTCGGAATTTTGCCCGAACCCAGAGTACTCCCCCCGTTGTTGTAAGAGTATTAGGACTATAAGTGAGGAGATGGGGTGGTGGAGGGATGCTGTTAAACTGTCAATGAACGGAGGTTAGTTTGCTGTATATATACACAGCGCTTAACTCGTTTATTAAGCACCACTCTTGTCTAATTAGGTTTGATTATCTGAATGTGCTCCACGTGTGTTTAATTAGGTTTAATTATCTGAACGTGCTCCTCCCGAACTTTGTTAATAAAACATCATTTATTGTAAATGCCTCATATGTAACCCAACTTTTGCTATTTTTAAGAAAACAAGACACATGTTGAAATTATTGATTGAAATTGATTGAGCTTACCTTGTAAAGTCACCATGAAATCAAAATCGACAATTCTTATTCTTTATGGAATATCAACACACACAAAAAAACATTTTTACAAATGATTTATCTGTGCACGTCATTGTTTTTTTGTTTTTGTGTTTTTAATTGATGTGCCCTCATAATCTTTAATCAAAATAACATATGACACATGACATCACAGAAATAGCAAAACCACAACATCCAATCAATTCCCCATGGACATTTTTTTTTTTTTTTTACGAGAAGCCATATTTCACTTGGATATACTTCACAATAAGAAAAGACTATTGCAACTTCCGTTTCACCTGACTTTAATACTAGCCTATTTAATACTTAAGAGTTTCTAACAACAGTAAGCACCACTAATTATTTCCACCCAGGACACCATCAAAGCACCGTTTCCAGTTCTTTCCAAGACACCGAACCAGAATGCTCCTCATCTGCTACAAAACATGGCTCACAATCATGCTCACTTTCCTCTGCATTCCTGCCGGTCTGCTTGGACTGAGACCCTTTCCCATCAGTCTGCCTCAGAACCAGCTCATGCTGCACTGTAAAAAACACAGTCTCCGTGTCATGAGGCGTGTAACTAGGTAAGTTTCCTGAATGGTGGAGACGCGATTGTCCTTTGCCCCCGATGGCTCCCAGCGGCAGGCCCTTGGTACCACTGACACTGAGACACACGCTCTGTGTGGTGGTGTGTGACATCATGCCTCCATAGTAGCCACTTCCACATCCCGCACTGCTGTTGACACGAGCCTTCTGCTTCAGGTCTAACGCAAGACTGCGCCTCAGCCATGCCTTCTTCACCTCTGCCTGCACCTGTTCATGATGTCATTATAGAGAAGATATGAAGAAACACGAAGACATGAAGAGAAAATATATGGGCTGAGAGACTGTTTGCAAATAACTCCGTCGTTACTGTTCCTATCACTCTGTATCAAGTGCAGAGGAAGCCAGGAAATTCAGATATGATAATGGACATTTTGTTTCCGACATTAAGCGGTAGACCAATCACAATGAACTGGGCCATCTGACCAATCAGAGCAGAGTAGGCTCTCGGAAAGGAGGGGTTTAGAGAGACCAGATCCTTAAACCATTTCAGACACCGTGAGAAAAGATGTGATGCTACAATGTACATTATGAGATTAAAGTGTTTTACAGTTTTTTTCAAATTGCTTACACACAATTTCTGAAACTATGGCTCCATTTCTTGAAACTCTTACAAAACCACAAAACACGCACGCATGTTGCAAAACATCAGACATCTCTTGCTAAATCAAACACTTAATTCAAAACTATTTTAACTATTCCAAAAATTGTGTTTTTGTGTAGTAACTCTACACACAAACATCAAATGATTAGCCACATACACAGCATACTACACACAGATGTGAAAAATGTAAAAATCTTGTGTCTTTTGCTTGTTCTGTGTGCAGTGGAGAGTATACAGTACAGGAGTTTGTCACATACACTGTATACAGTATGTATGGACAATTGATGAATGTTACAGTTGAATTGAACTGAACTGAATCAACACTGAAGTGAATTGAGCTGAATATTGAGACTATTGGCTTGTTAGAGCTGCTGTACAGCAGAATTTGTTTTGAATTGGTTACTATTGTGAAGCTGATGTGAAACAATCTATATTGTTGCTTGTATGCATATTCAGTATTTATGTATATATATATATATATATATATATATATATATATATTTATATATATATATATACTGAATATGCATACAAGCCCAGTCAGAAAGTCAACTTTATTTCTAAAGCGCTGTGTGTGTGTGTGTGTGTGTGTGTGTGTGTGTGTGTATGTATATGTATGTATATACACTCACCGGCCACTTTATTAGGTACACCTGTCCAACTGCTCGTTAACACTTAATTTCTAAGCAGCCAATCACATGGCGGCAACTCAGTGCATTTAGGCATGTAGACATGGTCAAGACAATCTCCTGCAGTTCAAACCGAGCATCAGTATGGGGAAGAAAGGTGATTTGAGTGACTTTGAACGTGGCATGATTGTTGGTGCCAGAAGGGCTGGTCTGAGTATTTCAGAAACTGCTAATCTACTGGGATTTTCACGCACAACCATCTCTAGGGTTTACAGAGAATGGTCCGAAAAAGAAAAAACATCCAGTGAGCGGCAGTTCTGTGGGCGGAAATGCCTTGTTGATGCCAGAGGTCAGAGGAGAATGGCCAGACTGGTTCGAGCTGATAGAAGGGCAACAGTGACTGAAATAACCACTCGTTACAACCGAGGTATGCAGCAAAGCATTTGTGAAGCCACAACACGCACAACCTTGAGGCGGATGGGCTACAACAGCAGAAGACTCCACCGGGTACCACTCATCTCCACTACAAATAGGAAAAAGAGGCTACAATTTGCAAGAGCTCACCAAAATTGAACAGTTGAAGACTGGAAAAATGTTGCCTGGTCTGATGAGTCTCGATTTCTGTTGAGACATTCAGATGTTAGAGTCAGAATTTGGCGTAAACAGAATGAGAACATGGAACCATCATGCCTTGTTACCACTGTGCAGGCTGGTGGTGGTGGTGTAATGGTGTGGGGGATGTTTTCCTGGCACACTTTAGGCCCCTTAGTGCCAATTGGGCATCATTTAAATGCCACGGCCTACCTGAGCATTGTTTCTGACCATGTCCATCCCTTTATGGCCACCATGTACCCATCCTCTGATGGCTACTTCCACCATGTCACAAAGCTCTAATCATTTCAAATTGGTTTCTTGAACATGACAATGAGTTCACTGTACTAAAATGGCCTCCACAGTCACCAGATCTCAACCCAATAGAGCATCTTTGGGATGTGGTGGAACGGGAGATTCGCATCATGGATGTGCAGCCGACAAATCTGCGGCAACTGTGTGATGCCATCATGTCAATATGGACCAAACTCCCTGAGGAATGCTTCCAGCACCTTGTTGAATCTATGCCACGAAGAATTGAGGCAGTTCTGAAGGCAAAAGGGGGTCCAACCCGTTACTAGCATGGGGTACCTAATAAAGTGGCCGGTGAGTGTATATGTGTGTGTGTGTCTGTGTGTGTGTGTGTGCGTGTGTATACACATAAATATATATACATTATGAAAAAAAAAAAAATATATATATATATATATATATATACATACATATACACATATAAATATATATACATACATATACTATAAACAGAAATTCAAGGGGGTACAAATAAGTTTTTTGCTTTCTCAAAACACTGAGTTTTGATTTCTAAGTGATCAATTTATGCATAAGTGTTTTCACACGGTCATTGGGTTTCGGTCATCAGTAAATGAGTGTGGCATTTAAATGACAGTGTTTCCCAAATGAAACAAAAGAGCTGTTAGTTTTGAATGATGTGTCTTATGTAGAGAACTGTGTTTAGAGTTTTGCAAAAGGTTTGTTTTTCAATTTCAAACCGAGTGTAAAGTGTATAATGTGCTTGCAGTTTTGCAGACTTGGTCTGAAGATTCGGTACATGAGTGAATGGTTTCGATAAGTGGGCCTCAAGTTCCACTTTTAGTGTGTAAGCAGTTTAAAATAACGAATAATTTTTTATAATTTTTTTAATAAGAAGAAATTAAAGTATTTTTTGGCCTTGGATACATGTAAACTTGTTGTACGAGTCCTTTAAAACAAAATCAGGAGCTTTTCAAATAGCATTTTAGGGGCACTTTAAAATACATTATCCAGCTTATAGAAATAGTAATTCTGTATTTATTCACCCTCATGTTGATTTTCACAGTTCTTTTTTATGCCATGAAAGTTAATACAGTATAGTGGTTTAAAGCTATAAAAATGACCAAAAAACACCAATAAAGCAAACTTATGCAAGCTGTGCACTTTTAATAATCCTTTTTCATGCTTTAAGGATGTACACTTTTTGAAGTGTAGACTAACATATTAAAGTACTTACAATTATTACGATTACTAATTATAACTGTAGTGTTATTCGATACTACATTTAAAGTCAATATATTTTACTAAATTGCAACTTCATCATCACAAATGTGTTTCTTTCTACAGTATAAGCACTCCAAAGTTAGAAAATTCCAAATACTACAAATACAAAAACTCACCTCCCCATTGCAGAAGCAGTAAATAAAGGCCACAAAGAAACCCTGAGGAAATAAAATTCATCATAAAGGAAAAGCACAATTTTTTTGACAGCATGACAGCAACAAAACGGTTTTGTAACCAAGGATGATGTTTCATGTGTCCTAACCACGAGCTATACGAAAAGTTCCAGCAACAAGTCGTTTGTCTTTCCACACTTAAAGCAGAAAAGCTGCTTGACATGATATAATCACAAACAATCAACATATTTTAGGATTAATCTACCTACAGCTGTTTTGGAGGGGCTACTACTAGTTTAAACCACACACGGCCACCTATTTTGCTGTATTAACCCTAACAAGTAGCCGTTCCCACTCAACTGCAGTGCCTATAGTGTGTGAGCTGGACTGTTTCCACTCCTATCGGAAGGTGTTTTCTCTCTCTCTTTCTCTTTTGCATCTTTATAGCATTGCTAACGATCTCTATAAACTCAAATCGCCAACTGTCATTGAAAATTAATAACTTCTGGTTCCCTTGTCGCTGAAAGTATAAATAATTGTCACTATGAACATACTGTAACCTATTCACAGACTTTTCTCTTTTTGGTAATTTAATCCAAATGTAATTTTCTTAACATGCTCTTTATTTCACATTATAATAAAGGGTCAGAGAAGACCTGGATTTGTTTTTTGTTTGTAAAATTAAAAAAATAAAATACTCGTATATACCTGTGAGGAGTTGAAGAGCATCTCATAATGCATCTGAATCTGCCACAGTAGACCTGTGACGTCAGTGTACGGAAGAGCCATGAACAGCATGTAATGAACTCCAAACAGCGGCATCAGCACCAGGGTCGACTTCAGCAGCTTCCTACAGGCCACAGAAAATCAATCACTACAGATGTGTGTGTGTGTATGTGTGTGTGTGTGTGTAGTTATTTATAACCTGTACTGCTGTCTAGGATCCAGTTTTCCTGTATTTGTTTCCCACAACTTAGAGGCCAAAACCCTGATGATATTGAGGAAGAGGAAGAAGTTTACCTAGATGAAGAGTTATGAGGAACATAACAAGTGACTTTTCAGTATAGGGTATTCACTGATAAAAATATTTATATATATTTTACATGTGTGCTTTAAGAGATGTTTATAAAATATGGATTCAATATTTTTTATTTCATAATGTACAGAGTTTTGCGTATCACATTTGTATATTTAAATTATTACGGTATTATAATTTATTGGAGAAGAACAATCTTACAACAATGGATGCCAGGATTGGTACTTGATAGATCCATTTCAGGTTGCCTGCGCTTATATCCCAGCACCTAGAGATGCAGAAATACAACCTTCAATGCTTAAGAAAGTATTCACAATCAATATATTATTTTCCATATTACAGTAACGCTGTCTCTTGTGACGCTTTGCAGAATATGCTCTGGCTGTGTGCCATTCATGTGTTTTGGAGGAGGCGTGGCTTTGGAGACGCTCTGAAGGGAGGGTGGGATCTTATGGCTTCAAAGCTAGCTTGCTAATGCTCATAATTAAATAAATAAATCATTTATAGCGATCATATTTGTTCACAAGATTCATATGGATTCTTTTTACAATGCCTTTCTGAACTTTTTGGATTTGGTTTTGTCACCTGGACTTTGAATGCAGGGAGAGGAACCCCTCAGGTTTCATTAAAAATATCTTAATTTGTGTTTTGTAGATTATATAAAGTCGGTTTGAAACGACATGAGGGTGAGCACAGTACCCTAATCCTAACTATCCCTTTACAAAAACATGAACTTAATTGCTTGACCGCACCATAAATCATAAATCTTGATTTCACAGGTTCAGTCAGAGACTATTTTTAGAAAGGCCAACATATGGTCATGCCTGGAATTTGCTAAAAAAAACACCATGCGACACAAAACCTAGACCTTTTGGAAGAAAATCTTGTGGTCTGATGAGCCCTATTTGGCCCAAAAGTGAAGTGCTATGTTTGCCCCAAGCCAAACAAAGCTCAACACCCAGGTGATCATCCACCCATCCATTCTCCAAACCGCCTGTCCTATGCAGGGTCATGGGGATGCTGGAGCCTATCCAAGCATCTCAGGCTGAAGGCAGGGAACAGGTGATCATGTGGAATTTATTCCAAGGTGTTAACATTTAGAGGTTTACCAGAAACCTTATACAAAAACAAATGCACAAATAAACCTACTGTGTGTCTGCCAGAGATGCTCGGGCACTGACCCATATGGACACAAACACTGCGGGTATCCCTATGAAAAAGAAAACAAGATAGAACGAAACAGGACGTTAATGGAAAACCCTATCTACAACCTTATTTTCACCCTCAAGATCATAACAGATTGCTCTGCAAATTTTATCATCAATTGCAATCTTCAAAGCAAAAGTGACAACTCACCCCAGCCTATGATTGTTAAAGCCCACAGACAGTTCTTATCAGACAGGAAGGCCATGAAGATCAGACTATGCAAGTACAGACCCTCGACCAGGATCCAATAATGATTGGTTGCCAAGAGATACAGGAAGAGGGTCACAGCAACCTTGCAGCCCACCTGATAAACACACAGGCCAATAAAACTGATGTCGGGCTTTGAAGCATTAATTATGTATTCATGTGCAAATGGTTTGTGAGTACCATAGGTCTTTGTCCAACTGCCCCGTCCTCTAGTCTGCCGTCATCTGCGACGGTGTAAAGAACGGCGTCTTTCACAAATATACTGATTGCTCTGCATATGAATGAGGTGAAGAGGTGGATGTGGATGTAGTTACGGGTGCAGTGGAGACGTCTGGAGAGAAAAAAGAAACAGAAAAGAAAAGAATCTTGACTTTGAAGTAGTGGTGGAAATTGATTCATTTCAGTGTCTCATAGACCACATTACAATGCATCCGGATTGCATAGAATAGAATAGAATAGAATAGAGCATATTTAATGGTTGCGAAGTCAAATCTACTCTATTCTGTGATTTCTGAAGCATAGTGTCTTTTCGTGTTCTGAGTAACTGTATAATTTACGCATTCAACGATTCATGAAAATCACTTTAAGTGAAAATGTCTATATTTTATTCAAATTTGTGACTACAAATGTATTATAGAGTATTTAAGCATCATAAACTATAGAAATAAAACAAATGCACAAATGAAATGCCTTCGACATGTCCCAATTCATTCATTTTGTTGACAAACAAATGTAGTTCAGACCCAAAACACTGCTTCAGTCTGTGATCCATCTTGATGGGTTCCTTCATTTCTTTAAAAGGGAAAGACTTTAGTAAAGAGTGAATGACATTGATTTGGTTACTTAAAAAATCAATTCGCAAATGTTGCTCCTGGACCAAGAACATGGATCCAGGAAAGTGTTTCCTTGTGAAAAAGAAGCGGGCTTAATTGTATTGAATGTGCACTTAGAGTGTACTCCAATCTTGTTTTACAAACTCTTTAAAGTATGTTATTTCCATAATAAGTACTGCTACAGTAAAGTGCATACTTCTTTTTCACAAGGGTTCTGCGTGGATAAACTGCAAAAAACCTATTCTATTCTATTCTATTCTATTGCATTCTATTCTATTCCCTACTCTCTTCCTCAGAGAGCAGAGGACCTGCTGACTGTCTGATCAGATCATAGATATCTCAGTGAACATAAGTCTGTCTGGATGTAGATAGGCATCAAGGCACCACACACTCATGAACATGAATCAGGCACTGGGGACATCAAGAATCCTGATGGATTAGATTTGTGTGCAGTGTTTACTGTCTATACGGGTATGTTAATTGCTAATATTTTATTTAAAAACATTTTGCACTTACTTGAAATAGCAAAGGATAAAGACAGCTACCAGTAACGCTGCCAGTGATATGGAGTATCCAATAGTGTACATGAGGTAAAGACGCTCAAATACATCCTAAAACACAGCAAAATAGTACACAGTATAGAATTATGTACAGTTAATGACTATACATTTTAATTTCATTTAGACAAATAAATAATCTATCACTAAACTAAATACATTTTCTACGTGTTGCTCTGTGGATGTTTCTGCATGATTGCTACTGTAGGTTACTGACCCATGTCAAATAAATCCATGTCAAAGTCACTATGATATTCTTGTCTATATATGGTTTAGGTCTCTCCTTCAATTGAATATATTGATTTTTTTTTTTTTTTTTGATTGATTTGTTAATCCGCCTGGAGATAAAAGTCTAATCATTCAGAAAATTGCAGTCAATCATTCTGAAGTTTAATACTTACTGTTATGGATTTGTTCAACTTCAAATCACTTACTTGAGCAACAGTTATAGTAATGCATGCCACCAAGATTATCGATTATAGCTGCCTATGAGTTATATAAAAAAAATGCACACACCTCCTGATTGCTGTGGTTAGTGTGCAGGTAAGTGGTGCATTCTGTGTAGTTGGCCCATGTCCGGTTTATAGTGGACACCTGCTCCCAGTAACCTGATGCATCACAGTGGCGATATGCATGTCCTAAAATGCATGTAAAACAGACATGCTTAATTCTTATAAGTATATATATATATATATATATATATATTCAGTATATAAATAGGCACACCAAAAAGTATCAGCCTCTGAGGTCATTTCTTCATACAGCTATTTTGTGTACTCTTACAAATAAAAAGTTTATTCTATTATTGCTATTAGTATACTTTTAGTTTGATTCTAAAAATAAAAGAGTAGCCATACTTTCAGCCTACTTTTAATGTATCAGATATATGAATTTATATGTAAGTGTACTGTAAAAAGTCAGTTTGGTTACTTAATTTTTGTATGTAGCTATATTTAAAAGTAATTAAGTATTTTTGGCTTGTATTTGTGCTTACTCTTTTGGTAGCATAGCATATTACATACTTTTCTTTTTCTTTTTTACACATCGGTTTCTATGATCTGATCAACTTACATGTTCAAGTTTACAGCTAACTTCAAGTCTACTTAGAGTACAGGTAAAGTATTATTTCAAGTATAAAAATAATATCTAAATAGGAACCAAGTAGTATACTTAAAGTGCAAAAAATATTTTTAAGTTGTCAAATTTCAAAGTTGTGAAATTTTGTAAAATGCAACAAAATCAAAAATATGTGATTTGATCATTCTCTTTAACCTTTATTTAAATGACAAAAGTACAAAGAAAAGCTTTCCAATGTTTTCACTCTTAATTGTATTTTGTAAATATTAACAAATTTTAATTTTAATGGCTGCAACACACTCCAAAAAAGTTGGAAAAGAGGCTAAATAAAAGTGAAAAGCTTATAGAATATCCAAGTTGAACTGTTTAGAAACAGTCCATATTAGGGGAATTGGTAATAGGTGATTGAGAGTATCGTGATTGGGTATAATAGTACCATCCACCCAAGGCTCAGTCTTTAAAGATGGGTCATGGCTCACCACTTTGTGCCAAATTTCATGAGAGAATTATTAAACAATTAAAAAATCACATTTCTCAAAACAAGAGTGCAAAGAATTTGGGTCTTTCACCATCTACCATACATAATATTGTTAAAAGATTCAGGGAATCCAGAGAAATCTCAGTCCATGTAGGGCAAGGCATGAAACCTCTGTTGAATGTGCGTGACCTTCGAACCCTCAGATGGCATTGCTTGAGAAACATCATGCTACTGTGTTAAAAATAGCCACATGGGCTCAGGAGTATTTTAGAAGAAGCTATATATCAATTCTATGCAGAGATGCCGCCGAGTTCTCTGGGCACGAGCTCATCTCAGATGATCCAAAACACAGTGGAAATGTTTGCTGTGGTCAGATGAGTCCACGTTTCAGCTTGTTTTGGGGGAAAATGGATATCAAGTTCTCAGTCCCAAAGACGAAAGGGACCATACTTTCATCAGCGACAGGTACAAAAGAAAACATCTGTCATGGTACGGGGGATGCATCAGTGCTATGCATGGGGCTATGCTATGCGGGGGGTGCTTTGCATGTGTGATGTTACCATTAACGTGGAAGCGTATGGGATTGTACAGAGATTTTTCCTGGGAAGCAAGACAATGCCTGCCCTCCTTCTGCACGTGCTACAACAGAGTGGATTCGTAAACACTCTTCACTACAGACTCAAAGTGCATGTGCTTGACTGCCTGCCTGCAGCCCAGATCGGTCTCTTACTGAAAATGTATGTCCATCATGAAAAGGACGACCATGGACTGTTGAGCAGCTGTGAGATTGAGATGAGATTGAGAACTGCAACAACTAGTATCCCCGAACAATTAAAAAGTGTAATTAAAAGGAAAGGTAATGTGATACATTGGTAAACATGCCTCTGTCCCAGCTTTTTTGGAATGTGAAATAGAATTTTTTTTGTTATTAAAAACAAGCAAGCCTATCCCGGGCGAGAAAAAGTAATGCAGACCTCTGTGGTTGAAGTCATAGATGTACTCAGGACACAGAACTGCAATCATCTGACTGGGTTTTCCTGCAGGCCAGCAAATGATCCCATCCCACTCAGGAAGACAGTAATCCTCTGACAATACACAAAATATCAGATTCATATGTTTTACAAGTTTAACATATATTTAACACAAAATATATGCAATCAAGTTATTCTCCAACAAAATGTTTGAAGGTGACAGGTCAAATAAGCTCTTTAACATAGGAAGCCAGATAAGAATCCTGATCTTTTCTCATAACCAAACAGCAGTGGATCTGTATTCATTCCACAGTTCTGGGTATGTCCGTATCCTGCTATAAAGTGACACAGTCATCACTACAAATAACAAAGGAGCTCAAATCAATATTCCTTATTCCTTATCTTGCTATAAACAGGGCCGCAGTTTAATTTGATCCTGATCTTCAGGAAATTGGATCTGGAATAGGAAGATTCATGCTTTTGATTGCTTCAGTAGCTGTAAGTTTGTCACAACTATTTTGGTTAGCTTTCTATTATGCCAAATTACACATTTAATTTAATTGATAGGGTAGATTTATTTCAAAATTACATTAAAAGTAATAAAATACCTTAAAGGGGTGGTATAATGCCCCTTTTTACAATATGTAAAATAAGTCTCTGTTGTCCCCAGAGTGTGTATGTGACGTTTTAGCTCAAAATACCCCACATATCATTTTTACAGCAAGTTAAAATTGTCCCTTCTTGATGGTCAGTAAAAACACGTTGTTTCGTGTGTGTCCCTTTAAATGCAAATGACTGCTGCTCCTTGCACAAAGGGCGGAGCTTCAAGAGCTCATGTGTGTTAGCAGCTCCATTACCTCACGAAGACAAGCACTAAAATGTCAGAAACTGTTCTGCCTTTTGTTTAAACTGGAGTCGGACAATGATGGAGAGACTCAAGAAGAAGTGACAATATGTAGAGTGCAACAGCACGTTTCTGAATGGTTAGTTGTTGAATGTATGTTGCTGATGTGGAGTTAACTATCTTCAAGTCTTTGATTAGCATATTCTGTCATGATAATCTATAAAATCGCTCTTGTGGGAACTGTTGTAAGATGCCTACAGAGTGACATGCTATTGCATTTGTGTTAGGTACTGTATTGCATGTGAAAAGACAGATGCGACAGCTTTACCAGACTCTGTGCTGTACAACAACTCTTCTTCTTCTCAACATGGACTGCGTGTTCCCGGGGGCGGGGTTTATGTAAATTTTAGGGTTAGTGATGTCACTAACCTGGGAGGAATGTCATGTAGTCCCTACCAGCCGTTTGTTGTAGTCCCTAAAAATGTATTTCTTTAAAAGCAAATATCTTCCCTTGCTTTGAACTTTGAGCATCGTAACTTTGCAGATGTTGTTTATGCTCAAACAGCACCATTACACACTAACTAAAGTTAGAAAAGTGAAATCATAATCAACCACCCCTTTAATTTGAGGTGTCAACGATTAATACTTAGATTTAGGGGTGTTGCTAACAACGATGACATTGTATAACAGCCCTATAGTCACACAAAAATTTTATTATAATACCTCTGACCACGTCTAACTGTGCACGGATGTTTCTCTCACACCTCGCGCGTGCACCAATTAGGAGAAAGATCTGTTCATCTCTGGTGAGGACATCATCAGAATCAATCTGTAAGAAGAGTGACAGAGAAAGAGAACATTATTCTCGCATATTTTCACTATAATCCCAAACCAAACCATGTTTGATGAATATCTTTATACGTATGTGATTCTGAGATTTGTAGTGATTTTTTTGTATCTCAATTGCTAAATTTTCTAGATAAAATTACTTTCAAAGTAAAAAAAAAAAAAAAAAATGGATGTTTCCTGACCTATAGGCACCTTTAATGTGTGATATGGTGTGATTTTAATTAGCCTTCAACTAACAGATTTCAACCTTTTTCTTTTTGTTATTCCTAGTGAAAAATAATGTGCTTAACTGATTGAATGTGCACTTGTAGTATATTTTTTAAAAACAAAAAACTTTAATAGCAGATAATATAATATCAATGAAATAAAATAAAAGGGCACTTAAGTGCACTTAAAGAGAGTTTCTTAACACACTTGTTAAAAACAACAAATGCATTGTTAAAAAGTCCTCTTAATTTCAAATAATAAGAAATATGGTTATTTTGATCTGTTGACTAACATGCTCCAGCACATATAAATCACATGATGATAATTTGTAGTTATATTACAATAATATTACATTTTAAGTAAATATGTTAAATGTACTAAATAGTATCTTCATAATTGCAAATGTGAAATAGAAATGACATTTAATTATGTTTTAGTTTACCATAAATGCTTGTTAGAACATTTTACAGACTGTCTGTTAGTTTGGGTCTTTTCCACTAGGACCATCAATTTTGTTTTTTTACATGTATTTTTATATAATATTTATGTAGTATTTGCTCTCTTATAATTTGAGTTGGGTTTTTTTCTCTGTCTCATTACTCATTGCTTATAAGTCATCTGTAATGCAAGACACAGTACTATATACTTAATCTAGATCAGTATTGTTGGGGGGAGGGGTGGAAGCATGTCAATAAAGAAAATCAATGTTTATGACGCTCTCTTAGTAGATTTGTTGTTTTACTATTTTATCTGCATTGAACAGGCGTGACACGTCACATCACAAAAGACTGACAAAAGACGTTTTCAAAGCATATACTGTACATGTTAGTTTGTCATTTTCCACGATCTCAGCTGAAATCATTGACATATTATCCATCTATCACCACATCTGGCACACCTTCTTTTAGGCTGATGTGCTGTCTCTCAGTGTTGTGAAATATTTTCACTGTCCTGTGGTATGTGTCGAGCTCTCTTCAACCTTCAGGATGAGAGAACTTATCCAACCATACACACCCCACACCCATGTGCATCCCTCACCGTCCTTCAACATTATGAGACCTGATCTCTGGGTCCTCAAGACTGGAGAAACACAGGAGCATTTGTGCCCTGAATACATTCACAACCACCAAACAAAACCTCAAACTCACACTCCTAACATGAGACAAAGAAAGACTAAAAAAAATAGCTCTTTGGCTGAACATGATTCAGTCATATACAGTGGACCCATGTGGTTGAAACAAGTAAAACCCAATAAAATCAACCCTGTAAAACTAACTAGAATCCATGGTGTTCAATTAACATGAATAAATTGTTTTAGTTGAATAAATGGTTTTCATTTAACTTGAATTATACAAGCTAACTAAGTGTAACTTTCCTGCACATGGTCAGGGTTATGTTCTGTTTTGGTACTCTTATTTTGATTTTAGCTCAGTTCTGTGTTCTGTGTGTTCCTGGTTCCTGTGTTTATTTCCTGCCTACCTTAGTTGATCTAGTTTCCTAGTGTGTTCCTGTTTGTAACATAGCACACAACTATTGCGTCCACCTGCCCCTTGTTAATTAACTAATTTAGTATCTGCACATTTACTTCCTGATACTGTTGGCTTGCAGTTTCATTTTGCTCCTGAGTGGTTTCCCCTATGTGCATTAGTTTTGTTTCATTTTTGTAAACAAATACACTCAAAAAAATAATTCATTGGATGAACATGATTTAATCATGCCACCTATATTCCATCTAAACAAACCAAGTTAAGTCAACCAACCTTTATCATGTTCTTTGAACACAAAATAGATGCATTGGTTAAACATGATATTAACATTTCCATTAAACTCAATTGCATCTTTTTTGAGTTATGTGTTTTAATCTTAGTTAATTTAGTGAGATTACTTTTGAGTGTAGCTATTTGCTAGCAGCAGCACATATTAGCATCTTAAATGCTAAGATTTACACGCTCCTTCAACCAAAGCAGTAGAAAAACTTGAAATCAGTCCACAGCCAAACAAAATGCTCCACTCTTCTCCACCATGGTAAGCCACTGTAATTTAAAAGGTTCTAATAATTCCAATGTTATTGAACATTAAACACAATTACACACTATCAAGTCTTCCCCTTTTGTCATTTTCTCAAAAAAATATAAAATAACACTTAATTTTAACATTTATTCTCTCTTAATTCAACCATATGCAAAGCATGCTGGGAACTAACAAGCACCACCCAGTTTCAGTCAATGCAACACAAATCAATCATGTAATCACATGTAATAGATATAGTTAAACAGATTGAACACAATCAAATTAAGTTAGGGCAAAATGGCAGTTGGCGTCGCACTATACTGCCACCATCTGGATGTAAGAATTTTTTACTTAACATAAATAGTTTGTGTTTAGACAACGCGTTAGGATTTTGTACTGTTAAGTTGAGGCATAATTATGTTGACCTTACTAGAAAAAAAACATTTCAAGTCAACAAACACAATTATTATAAGTAAACTAAATATAAATATATTATGTAAAGTGCACAACCTTCCTCGTTAATTTTTTTGAGTGTACGTTTGCAGCTGCTAGATCCCACCTATGTATTTCCTTGCTCCTGCTGCAACCAGCACGCTAACAGAAGAACGAACCAATCATAAAATCAGCAGTTCTTTCAACCCTCACACTCGAATACCTTCTCCTCTCCCTCTCACATGATGGCCGTCACCTGGAACACTACGTGGAGGAGTTCCTCAAGATCAGCCACCTGGTGTCCTAGGGCGACGATGCCCGGAAGACTGTTTTTTAAAAGTGGGTTGGATGATTATCTATTTCAACTGTTGCCAGCAGGAGAGACCACCTGCACCCTGGCACAGTATATGGACTATGTACTGTGGTTGAGTGGCTCCTCCCTCTCAGTAAGCGAAGTTGATGAAGACACCAGCGCCATTCAGACGCAGCCTCCCCAGCCCACTCGAGTAATCCGGTTGCTTTTGCTCATTATCGCAGCAACACCACCTGTCTCGGAACTCCTTCCCAGTCCTTACCCACTCTTCCTGTCACGGACCCTTAGCTCATCCAGCACCTCACCACACCTGCCACGGTCACAGACCCAGAGCCCCCCACCTGCCACGAGACCAGAGCCTGAGCCAGAGCAAACACCCGCCAAGGACCCTCCGTGGATGGATAAGGACACCCTGGAGCTAGAGCCTGCAGCCATACTCATCCAGGAGCCTGAGCCAGTTTTCATATCTGACCAGGTGCAATAGTTAGCACCCTTTGCTGTCATTCTCATGCGGAGACAGCGTTTTTGGATGGTTCATACTCTTACTGTAAAAGCATGGCCATGGGAACGTTGCGGTCGCGGCTCGCATTTTTTTTTCTTCAAAAGACTGCGAGCAACCTCAGCTGCCTCAAGTCCTGGTCCTTCTACCTCTGGGTACAATGCCTCGGTGGTGAGCACTGATGGTAGCCTGACGTCGTCATACTCAGATTCTAGTCAGAATGTGAGTCTGATACTGCTCCATTGGGCTGTGATTATGGGGCGTGTTTCAACCGAATCTTCTATAACAGACGCGATGGCTGAATCAACACATCTAAATTCTCCAGCGGCAGCCATTCTTTGTTGTAAACGAATTTAACCCAAGCGGTCTTTGGTGACGTGGATGATTACATTACTGTTGATCATCTTTCCATCATCGTATAAAGCCCGCCCTGACAATTTGATTGGTCCGAACAGCTTTGGTTCGGGAATACTTGCTTTACAACGGATCAAGTCCAGACCAAACCTCCCATCCTCAAATATTGTGGGCGGGGCTAAGTTCGGATCCCCAAAGGTGCACAGTCGGGTCAGTGCTTTCCTGGAGGCCTGGAGAAGCGCCTGTCCGCTTCTACCCTCAAAGTGTATGTGCAGAAATCCATAACACAGTAGGTGGCGGGTCCTTAGGGAAGCACAAACTGATTGTCAGGTTCCTGAGAGGGTCGCGGAAGTTGAAGCCTTCAAGACCTCGCCTCATCCCCTCTTGGGATCTCTCCTTGGTCTTACAGGCCTTATGGAGGGACCCGTTCGATCCCTTGGAGTCAGTCGAGCTCGGTGCCCTCTCCATGAAGACAGCTCCCCTGACTCCGTCAAGAGGAAGGGCACCTTCAAGCCTTTTCCATCAGCGATACGAGTTCGAGCCGGCATACACTCGCGTGGTCCTGAGCTATGGGCTACGTGCCCAAAGTTCTCACTACTTCCTTCAGGGACCAAGTGGTGAACCTGCAAGCACTCCCTAGTGACGAGGGAGACCCAACCCAGTCTCTGTTGTGCCCATTGCACTCTATACATATACCTGGATCGCACGCAGAGCCTCAGAAGATTGGATCAGCTATTTGTCTGCTTCGAAGGTCAGCAGAAGGGGAAGGCTGTCTCCAAACAGAGATTGGCCCTCTAGATAGTGGATGCCATTCATCTGGCTTACCAAGCCCAAGATGTGCCTTGTCCTTTGGAGCTCAGAGCTCATCCAACATAGGCATTGAGGCATCTACAGCCCTGTCTAATAGTGCTTCTTTGGCAGACATTTGTAGAGCTGCAGGCTGGGCTACATCCGACCTTTGCGAGATTCTATAATCTCCGTGCAGAACCAGTGTCACAACTTGGACAACTTGTCAGTGTAGTGCTTACATGAGCGCCCTCCCCCTCCACGAGGCAGAAACATGCACCGTTTCGTCTCAGAGATATATATAAACCCAGGACGCCTATACGCCCCTAGCACGGCAGAATTCCCTACCAGGCCTGTTACTCATGGTATGTCCCTTTCA